GCCGTGAGAGAGGCCGCGTTTTTGTCCGAGACGTCATTTACGTTTGTCCGAGACGTCATTTTTAAGTCTTGTGAGGTCACGGCAGAATCCTGTTACGATGAGACACAGATTTCTCATAAACTGTTCTTACTACGTATTTTGAAAAAAGTAGAAAACGGTCTGCTAGTAATATTTCAAGTGCATAACTGGTGTAGCGATTCAATATATAAAAATTATGACTGAACTAGGAAACTCGTATACTGTAAATTTTCATAACTAAGTAGGCATTTTATATCTTTTTATATTGTTCGGCAGTTGGCAGATACAAATTCAAAATAGATTACAAAAAGTTATTATAAATAACTGTGAGCTCTAATAGTATAAAGTAATTATATATTTTTATCAAAATTCTCTTCAGATATGAAAAATTTTCATTTTATTAAAAAGAATTCATGTCAAATAGACGAGAAGAATGATTAAGAAATTAAAAGAAAAGATGGAAGCTCGTCATAGCACATAAAAATTTGTTTTGAACGTATCCTACTTTCATTAAAAACAAATTGGTTTTATGACATTTATTAAACGAGGAACCGACTCATTTTCTGTACTAAATCATCAATTCAGAACAGTTTATTTTCGCTTAGGTAAGAATGTTCTCACCTTTTCTCAGATGCTGAGGCTGTTCCCTGCGAAGACAATGGAACCTAAAGCCTTCAGGAAGAAGACTTTGTTGATGGTTTTATTCTTATGTTCGATTAAATACTGAAGACCTAGAGCGCTGGAAGATGCTTGTGAAGTCAGCTCCACATGTCGAATGAAAAAACGCTGTTTGAGCGCCGGTTATATAGGCTGTACCGACTCCTTATCTACGATCGAGATGGGCAGTGTGACAAGTTTAAGTGGGTTAGCCTGGTTTTCGGTGTTAAAAAAGTGTAAGGTAAAATAAATTACAGCTATTTTTTGATTCTTCAATGAAATGTGGTTATGAACGTTGAAAGCTTTTCCGAAAATACCTTCTTAACTAATTGTTGAAATACATTAAATTAGATGGAAGTTTTCTTTGATTTCGTACATGTATTCCGATTGAAATTATAAAAGTTTGCACTGAGCAAAAATCTAAGGAATGGTTTAATTAAGGAATACATTCGTAAATAAATTTTTAGATGCATCCAGTAACAACTGTAAGCATATTAAAAGAGGCGCAGGCGCTCAACAATTAATTGCCAGGATGCAAACCTGATACTCTCAGAAATGATTATCGCCTAAACTTAACGTAACGATTAACTTAATTACTGTAGGTTAAATAAAATTGAATTCTCTACACTGAACAAATGCCTAAACCCAGAGCATTGAAGTTTGATCAGTATGAGGACATTAAGGAAGCGTCCTCGGGCCTTTTTTCTTCGTTGCGTTTAAAAACGATCTGCCAGAAGCTGTGTCTAGCGTGTGTGCTCGATGTATGCTGACGACACAAAAATTTATAATACAGTGAAGAATACGTCGCAAAAAGTACAGTTACAAGGTGATCTTGACAGGCTGGTTGACTGGGCTGATAAGTGGCAGCTGCGTTTTAACGCTGACAAATGTAAAGTTATCCACCTTGCCCTTGGCAAGAATAATGAACAGCAAGATTACAGCATGCATGAGAAGACACGGTTGCAACGACAGAGTGATGATGTCGAAGTCGACAATGGAAAAAGATTTAGGAGTTAATATCGACAATGATTTGAAATTTTCTAAGCATATTGAAGGTCAAGTTAATAAAGAAATGTAGCGGTAGCGCTGTAGCGGCAAAACCTCGTATCGCTACTTAAATATGTAACGGGCGCTACTGCTACCGCTACATTGCCTTAAATGTAGAGCCGCTACCGCTACTGAAAATGTAGCGCGCTACTGCCACCTCTGTTGATGGGAATGTAAGCAAGTTATAGTGCGGGGGGCGGCACTCTTAACGCCTTCCCATATATTAATATCTCTTGACACCTTCCCAAATAAGAATTTCTGGGAAAGCGTCAAGAGTGCGCGGAGCCTCACTCTTAACGCCTTCCCATATATTATTACCTCTTGACACCTTCCCAAATAAGAATTTCTGGGAAAGCGTCAAGAGTGTGCGGAGCCTCACTCTTGACGCCTTCCCAGATAGTCTTATTATAAATAAGGCTAACGTAAAGCTTAACATTACGCTAGCTTATCTTTTCTCACCAACTTTTCACTAAACGTCATGCCACACTCTCGAAGAGAGTCTATGCTTAAATTTTTAGCGACATAGCAGCATTATTTGTTGATTCATTTTTTCTAGGTGATATATGTGCCCTAATATTGCGTAGATTTTTTTACGGAATGCATAAAATTTTACGTTTAGCGTGTCATGGCCAGCAATTCTCCTCTTCCAGCAATAACAATTTAAATTTTATACAATTGGCTACCATGTCATTTCGTGGCTCCTATATCATTTCATATAAATTTATAGCCAGAAACCTGAATATGTGAGACTGTTTTCCTTTAAATTTAATAACGCATTATATTCCACGGATGGTTCTACTCCTCGCACCCGTCAAGGCGGTAGATCATGCTAAGATGCTATGGATGGCTCCACTCGTCCCACCCAACACGACGTTAGGTTATATAGCCAACGGTTCTACCAGCGGAAAACTTACCATGATATTACGTAATTACTATGCCGCCCAGCGCCGAAGCTACGGCAACATTCGAACCCATTTGCTTCCATCACTTGCCTCTCACCCACACAGGTGCAGGTTTCATCATTTCTCACATATTTAATAAAAATATTTTTCAACATCTGGAAACAAAAGAAGAAATCAAATTTTTCTAACATCAAAGATGGATTGGCGTATTGGTTCCCTGTCTCTACAGTTCTTGTCTGTCGCCCAGTAGTTCGACTGAACGAGTAAACAACACGACTTGACGTTATTTGAGTCGTGGCTTTTCCTAAGCATCACTTCCGTTCCGTACAGTGCACTACCAAAGCGCATAATGATGCTATTAATTATTATAACCTTATTATATCAGTATAATTTTATTATATTATAGCCTTCTGTGGCTATAATAATAAACGTGGCAATGAATTTTTCCAGTTAAAATGAACCTAGAATAAATTTAAATTATCAGAAGTTATAAAACGAAGACTTTTTCGAGCTTTCCCAGTACGAGTGAGCTAAAAACCGTGGCAAGGCTAAGACGTAGCTTAACTACAGATCAAATAACAGAACTAAGTACAAATATGAACCGTTTTCGAGACGAAAAAAGCGCACGCATCATCGTTATGAGTGGAGACAACAGAGTAGCATTTATCTTTTGAGAGTAATTTAAATCCCTTAAACGCTTGTCAATCTCCGGTCCACCGCTCGATTAAAACCTGCCTTATGCGGTCTTCCCAGGCCTCGCTTAAAATCGAGTTGCTCGAGAAGTGTTAGTCAGAAAATACGCCTCAAGTACATAAATAGATCAACGAACCAACTTGATATCCCAAAGAATACAATACGCACACTATGAGGAAAGAGAAAAAAAATAAAACCAGTCTTTATCACCGACATTTATGTCTCAAAACGTAAAGTTGGGCGTAGCATGCAAACCAATAAAAAAGTGCTTAACGAAGCTTTTACAAGCTAATTGACGCTGATACTTATAGAAAACAAGAAACGTAGTAAATTTTTAAACATAGTAGCGGACTTCATTCAGCAAATGATTTACTTCCATGAGGAGCAGGATAGCACTAGGAACTCCTTTGGTGGATGCGCGTCAACATCGAATTCCGACAGAGCGACACCTCATGTTCAGCTGACGGGCTTCATGCCAAAAGAAATGAATATAAGAGGAAAGATATTTTATGTCTTAGAAGCTAACAAAAAACCGAGTATCCCACAACAAAGTAAGTCTTTACGCAGATTTAAACCTTCAAAACGCAGCTTACCTGCACAGGACAGGTCGTCTCTCGTCTTTCATGCACCTCCACCGCGCGGGATGGCATCTTTAATAATTTATTTAGGTTTTTGTTATTCGATCTCTACATAAACTCGTCACTCGTATTCAATACGTACTTTGAGTGACTTGAACTATCGCATAACTGCTATATAAGAAAGCACTTGGTTCGAATTTCAACAAGTAGTAAACATTCATTCTCTGTTACCAGCAACAAATTATCGTACACTTTCTTCAAATACGAATGCCCATTAATATTTCGTCGTCCAAATGAAAATTTTGCATTTGAGTACCGAAATAAAATAGCAAGGCTGTAAGAGATCCCTTGATAGTTACATCCGACGAGTGGTAACAATTCAAAACTCCCAAGGAAACAATAGCAAGGTTTCAATCATCCGCGTATCTTGAATACCAAGTAGAACAACAACGAGCATCTGCACTCGGCATAGTGATGATATAAATCAAATATACTCTAAACATTAATAATTATTCGAAAATAATTTTTTTGGGCATAGTCCAACCTCCTCGACACTTGATAATTATTATTAAACGTGCTACTCAAAATAAACAACAGATAGAATATTTTTATGATATTAATGTTTCTAAGGAGCGAGAATACACGATTATCTAAGAAAACATACTATGGAATAAAGGAATTAGCATAAATGAAACGATTTCAACATGTATTCCTGTGACAGATGAATTCTCAATTCAATCAAGAAACATAGTAAATTCAATAAAAATTTCATAATTTTCGTGCCATACTCAGAATTTTCCAATAGGCATGACAGGAGTGCAGCTATGAATTTCTTTTCCGTCGACTTAAATGATCCCGAAGACGCTAGTTTGCATCCACAGGTACCCCGCTAAGAGTGCCATCAGAATCACTACAGTCTAGAAAAAACTTGATTTAGCAGGCCACTCCGGTCATGGCTTCTTGTGACTCGTCTTCAATGTCCAGCGTCAGTCCTAGCCTTGGCGTAGCGGTCAGCCACGTTGTCCCAGTTGATGACGTTGAAGAAAGCCTTGACGTAGTCAGGACGCAGGTTCTTGTACTGCAGGTAGTAGGCGTGCTCCCACACGATTTTCCAATAGTCATGACAGGAGTGCAGCTATGAATTTCTTTTCCGTCGACTTAAATGATCATGAAGCGCTAGTTTGCATCCACAGGTACCCCGCCAAGAGTGCCATCAGAATCACTACAGTCTAGAAAAAACTTGAATTAGCAGGCCACTCCGGTCATGGCTTCTTTTGATTTGTCTTCAATGTCCAGCGTCAGTCCTCGCCTTGGCGTAGCGGGCAGCCACGTTGTCCCAGTTGATGACGTTGAAGAAAGCCTTGACGTAGTCAGGACGCAGGTTCTTGTACTGCAGGTAGAAGGCGTGCTCCCACACGTCCAGCCCCAGCAGCGGCACCAAACCTGATCGTTGGTCATGTATTAACATTGCTTCTCTTAATATAAAAGATGGTGCATGTACTGCTTCGTTTCCCGCTCTAATGCCTCCAAACCTGACCATTAGGTGCCATAGGCAAGCATTTCTCTCTGACGATGGCTTTTATGGTGCACCTCAGATGCGGCACCCTGCCTAACCTCTTTTTAAAATGAATCAAAATAGAAAAACTGTGGCATTAACACATTACGCCCCTAGTACACCACCGAGCTGCAGACGTTGTACACAGCAAACAAATACTACTAATAATACTACACATGACGCAGCCAGGTACCGGTAGTGAGCTGCAGGGGGTCCTGGTTCTGGCAGGTGGCCACGGCGACCTCATCCTTGACGGGGCAGTAGCCCAGCCACCCCCAACCCGACCCCTTCACCCCCACGCTAGCTGTGCTGAACTCGCTCTGGGAGAAGGAGTTTGTTTAATGCATCGTCACGCATTGGTTACAACAAAAGTGACTAATGAATCAACGAAGAGGAATCTGGAACAACAATTGACTTGAAGCAGCGGATTCACTTAATTCAGATTAAAGACTTAGTAGCTTAAGGCCAATTCAGTTCATGTTTCAATCAATTTTAGACACCAATTTCAAGTGAGGCAGGTAGCAACATTAAGACTCTAACTGCGTAGTTAATGATCATTTCTGCACCTGGAAGTTCTGGAAGGAGCCGAACTTGGCGTCGATGGCTGCGAGCAGGTCGCCTGTGGGCTGGGTAAGCTGCAGGGGGTCCTGGTTCTGGCAGGTGGCCACGGCGACCTCATCCTTGACGGGGCAGTAGCCCAGCCATCCCCAACCCGACCCCTTCACCCCAACGCTAGCTGTGCTGAACTCGCTCTGGGAGAAGGAGTTTGATGTATCGTCACGCATTTGATACAACAAAAGTGACTAATTATACAACTAAGAGGAATCTGGAACAACAATTGACTTAGAGCTGCGGAATCATTTGATTCAGACTAAGGACTTAGTAGCATAAGGCTAAGTCAGTTCATGTTTCGATAAATTTTAGACACCAATTTCAAGTGAGATAGTAGGTAGCAACATTCAGACTTCAACTGCGTAGTTAATGATCATTTCTGCACCTGGAAGTTCTGGAAGGAGCCGAACTTGGCGTCGATGGCTGCGAGCAGGTCGCCTGTGGGCTGGGTGGGGGTGCCGGTGGGGTTGGGCGCCATGTTGGTCCAGAAGATGGTGTGGTTGAGGTGACCTCCACCGTTGAACTTGAGTGCGGGGAAGAGCGCATTGCACGCCGCGATGTCGTTCTTTGCGCGAGCCTCGTCCAGCTGTGGGAGCATTAATGCTTTTACATACAAGATATTTTGTAGATAAAGTGATAGAAATCATTGGGGCGGATTTCACAAGATATTTTATTGGAGCAGATACCACGGCAGCAGATTGCACAGATGTATGAAAAGTCAAAGAAATGGATGCTTGGTCAAGATCGTAAAGCGTAAAAAAGATACAATTACCAGCATATCCACCATGGCTCTTAGTTTTTTTATTTGGTCATGATGTTCCGTTAATAGAGAAAATTCATATAAAGATATCAATTGTTGTTTGATTGTATAAGTACAATCATACCTGAACTTGGTATGATTATTGAGTTGTAAAATTATGAAGCCTGAGAAGCATTAAATTAAATGGACATATTATATGGTAAGAGATTTAGCAGCAGTGGCCTGAAGGTTGTTGGTGTGGCCATAGTGGTAGCTGGCAAGAAAAACGTCATATAAAGGTCATTGAAGGTCCGCATTTCTTAATAACCTTAGCAGCAGCAGCCTTAAGGTTGTTAATGTAGCCTTGGTGGTGCTTGGTGTGGTGGATCTCCATGATGAGGCCAGAGATGTGGGGCTCCAGGCCCTTGTAGTCATACTGCAGAGGTGGCAGCGCATGCTCTCCCTTGTTTTCCCCTGCGGCAAATGCAGCCCTTGTCAACATTGAAATTAAACAAAATTGCACTACCAGTTTTTTAACAAACCTTAGACATTGTAGACATGCAAAATAAAAATTTTGAATGTTTTAACACACACTAACTGTGTGTTAAATAATAATTTCTAAGAATCAAAAATACAATAATAAATAATTGCTAACTACAAAACTCTATTAAAACATTGAGAATGCTGATGAAAGAATCTTAATGCACAATAAAACTGTGCACCTGAATATTTGACAGAATGACCACACAGCAGCTTCTGTTTGTGACCATTTCATCCCTGGAGACCATCACTCCAGCTAAATGCACACTAGCTCTGTTGTTACAAATTTATATTTATATTTTTGTTTAAATTATCATATAATTTATTAACAAAATATCATTAATAAATTAAATTACTTCCTTGAACCTGAATTTTGATCAACCAATGTCATCTGAAGAATATTTTTCGATCCTGAAAATCTAAATCAATCAATTCATTAACCATTAAGTCATTAACCACCAGTGTTTAAACTACCATAGCTCTGTCATGCACTTATCAGTTATCATGACTTATGCAGTAATATAATAATAATATAAAAGGTTATTTTTGTAACCATAGAAAAATAGCATCTGCCATCCAGAACTATACAATTGATTCAGAATATATTCTAACCAAGTTCAGCCTTGATGTGATCAAAGATGAGGTCAATCTGAGGATGAAGCACTGAAGGCTGGGCAGCAACAGCCACCTGCTGGACGGTGATGCCTGCCACATATTCAGCCATCTGTTGGATGCTGCGCGCCTCATCAGCCGCATTAGCCAGCTGAAACATCACAAAGTATTAATATCAATACAAGGCATTTATGTACTTACATACTATATATATCTTAATATTGTTCAAAACCACATAATAACAAGCCACAAGGCATGATCATAAACTCAGAGACAAACAGATAATATACATAACTGATTTAACTTGACTACCCTTGGTTAACTGTTACAGTTACCCTTGGGGCTTGGTTAACTGTTGGTTAACTGTTTGAAAGGATTTTATATGAATTCAAGAAATTCATGAGCTCTTAAACTTGTGAGAAGTAAACTGAATTCAAAATAAACATCCAAAACTAATTCAAAGCTGATATAGGTACAAATGATGTCCATCATGATCAAGCTTTGATTGGAAAAATTATTTATAAAAATTACTTAAGCGAAATAACTAGCCTATTGTACAACCTACAAACTGTAGTGTAGTGTGATATTCAAGAATAAATCATGTGTATACTACTAACACATAATTACCTGATTCTTCCTTATTTGATCAACTTCAATGCCAGAAAGCTCAGCCAGCTTGCTTTCAAGAGCAGCAATGTAGGCATCTTGATTAGCCATTGTTCTGATATTTAATTCTCAACAAATTAACAATCACTGAAAAAAAAATGATCAAATTACTATATCGAATTGATTGTGCATGAAGAAAAGGAAGGAAAAGTTTTAGAGAAAGAAGTCTCGACTCTCTCAAGTCAAGAATATGCAAAATGTTTTAAATCTATCATACCACTTTTAACCAACAATCTTACATCATACCTACATAACATGGCTCACAAATAATGAAATAAGCACTGCTACAAAGTACAAATACCTATATGTTTATGGTCTTGGAGCAGGACAAAACACAAGTGAAATTAATAATACCTAAGCATGTCATAATAAGCCGACCGCAAACTTGCATGCAATGATGCAAAGCTGATTGGTGTCCAATACAGTCTAAATGTGGGTGCAGCTTTGTTACCTCTAACATGCGCCTAGTTACTACAAACTGGCAACTGCCAATGCCAACGTTCTTAGCGGACCAGATTAACAACAGAAGAATGTATCCTTGGAGATTTTGAAGCTCTGAGCTATGCAATTAAAATTGTCCAGTTTTTCTCAGTTGTGACGCAGGTCCGCGGTTCATTTTAATCATGACTAGGACCAGTATCTATAAAAAAAAAAAACTCCGGATTATTCTTTAGTCTTTACATGAAACGATGTGTGCGTTAATTCGTTTCTAAACAGACTTAACGTAGGTAACGCCACGATAGTGGTTTGGTCTTGCTTTCTGGCAGTACCAAAAGTTAATGATTGTAGTATAGAAAATATTTATTGAAAACGAATAAATTTATGAAAAAATGGTTAGTACTCTGTAAACTTGATCAAACGTTTTCGAAAATCTGAGAACTTGTGTAATATTCAAAATTTCAAACCGGCACTTAGCTTCTTAGCCTATCTGCAACCGAGCCGTGTTCCTTTTTCTTCATATATTTGTTCAAAGAATATTAGAAAACATATGTTCTTATTTGTGGTTTAAATGCTATCCAACCGATATCATGTTATGAACTAATATGTTATGAACTCAGATATTAACTAATTCAGTAAATTATCTAGTGACTATTTGATTGCGATTTTCAATTAAAATATATTTGATTCTAGCCCATCAAAAATAAGATTGAAATATGAGACATAATAGGATTGATATTGAGAATGGACATCGGATAGGATTGACGTCGCACGATTGCCTGTGAAGGAATGATAAACTGAATTAGTTTTGATTACTGTATCGACACTTCTCCGAACTCGCCTTGGAAGAACTCTGAATTCGCTGTGAGAATATATTTTTTTATTTGGCAGGCTAGTAATTGTAGTTAGATAATGTTTCCTAGTTTTTTTCAGAAGGACGTATAATTCGCACCGCAGATACAATCTTCATTTACATCAAGGGTCGCCGGATGAAGAGACGTATAGTTTATCAGCACTTCCGTTGATATTTCAGTTTTTTAACACGGGATCTTGCCTGAGATAGAGTTAGAACCCGCTTGACAAGGCGGTCACGAAATGCACCGCTTCCTGATTTAATTAATGTTTTTGAATTATTGTGTATTTTTCTAAAAAAAACACTGCTTTATTGACCTATATGATTCAAAACAGCCTAAAATTGATTGCTTATAGGTATTTACGTTAGCCGCCTTCGAACGTTCATAGGTCCTAACTTTCTTCCTCCTCAATGTAGCTAGTCGTCAGTCGTATTTTACTTGCATTACAGAGTTTGCACTTTACTACGGCTGATTTCCGAGATATTTTATTTTAGAGCATCCAATTACCTTCAAAAATCTTGTTTAATTTGCGGTATTTCTTTATTATTATTATTTTTTTAAACCTGATGCATGTCATCAACTGGTTAGCGATATTGGTAAAAAACCGTCCAGAAAAGCAATGGGATAAATGAGGGCGGAATTGCTACTGTGGTTTGGAACATCACCCCGCTCTGTTAAATAATTTTTTATGGTACGTTAGCATATTGCATTTATAATTTCGGAGTTACGGGCGGGGCTGGGAGAACAGCGTACACCATGCGTTTTTGCATTCAAGTCTTCCGCTGAGTCCGTAGAAATTTTGATGACAAAGTGCAAGAAATATCAAATACTAGAAAGTGAACAAAAAACCTATGCGTGAAACTTCTGAAATTCAGATGTCTAAAACAAGTAACGAGAGTGGCAATTAACGCATAACTTCACTCCCGAATATAATAATAGCGGCTACAGCGTTTATTAGGCCATAGGCCTGTCGCCGATTCTTAGCATCGCAGAACATCCACAGCTTGTTGCGATTTCGAACTCACAACTCATTGATTCAAATTCTGCTGTGCTTAACCGCTCGGCCTCCTTGCAGATTCTGGCCAGAAACTTGCGCACAGAGCTGGGATCGCACCCGCGCCTTTTTGCGCCAATCTTGGTACTCTGAACTGTAACCACTGGGCCACTCTGCCCACCATTGGGCCACCCTGCCCAGTTAATAAAGGGGATGAGCCCAATATGATATGCGTCGGATGAGTGTTTTATTTGAGGCACCTCAGGCACTACTACAAATATTTCTTGGATTCTTGTGTGCATTAACAAAGATAAATAAATACGTTTATGAATAATTATCAAGATGCAAAATTTTGTACATTGCTGTTGCTGCTATGCGTAAATTTCATGCAATTTGTTATACGCAGGAGTTGGACAATTTTTATTAATTCTTATCGTGTATATGCTGGTGCATAGAAAGTTGTCTGAATATTGTTAAATAACTTGCAACATAAAAAAAACTTTTGTGAGTTACACGATCCCTGCAACGCAAGTGTTTTTTTTTAACTCGAAACGCTCATTTCCTTAACCTAGTAGCAACGATTGTGGAAACCGCATTTCTTCCTAAAGATCATTAAAACTTTGACTATGTGTTGAAATGCAACATTTCATCTATTATTCTACTCGATTCTTTTTATTTAGCACTCGTAGATAACACAGAGCTCGGTGTATGCTGTTATCCCAGCCTCTGCAGCCCAATCCGTAACTCCGCTGATGATATTCAATTTTTTTTACAATATTGGTCAATTATATTCCTGCTTCGTCATGATCAGGGTGTGACCTTTTTACTGTCACTTTGATTTTATTTAACCGTAAATGTAGGTGAACGCAGCCCGCTTCGGTCAGCAATGAAGCTCCTTCAATGGTAACGAGTTCTTCGTTATCGAGCATATCTCAGTAAGATCGAGGATTGGCTAGGCATCAAAAGTAAGAATGCCAGGACTCTTGTGGAATTCTCTGTCATTTTAATGATTTGTCGCAGTTGTATAGATAAGTGCACTCTTTCAGCTCAACTGCCTTAAGGATATGAGAAACATTTCTCTTAAGCTCACGTACGAGGACTTGAAAGTAAATTATTGAATCTAAAACGTGATTTCGAGAAAATTTCACGGTGAGATTACTGCTGTCACTATTACATTGCCGTGTTAGTGCTGACTCTGTTCAAATTATTACTCTTATTATTATCGTTATTTTAGTCGCTGTTGTTGTAGTCACTGTAATTTTCATTGGTTTTATTGCCGCCACTGTTAATCCCGTCACTGTCATTGCCGTTCCAGTTATTGAAGTCACTGTTATTGACGTTACTCATATCGCTACTATTGTCGTTCCTGTTATTGATACGATGTCACGGTTTCCACTACCATACCAAGAGTTTGCCTGCTAACGGCGTCAGAGCGTAACCCTGAACTCAGATTTGTCTAGATGCAGGCATTTTGCGGCTGTTTTATTGTGTGTGAGACATAATATTCTAGGCTTAATAGTATAATAGGAAGTAACAACGTTTCTGACGGCAGGATGGCCTGCCGCTGTATTCTAACATCAGACTTACTTCACTTGCGCTATTTTTATTAGGTAAAAACAATACCTCAAATAAAAACAGTATGGGCAGGCTAAAACGATCTATTTGGTTTGATCAAGCTATATGCCTAAATATTTTATGCACTGTATATACTTTCAAATAAAATCTAGAATGTAAAATTGTCCCAAGTGGTTCCTTTTTGTAATGTGCAGATTCTTTCGATTTGGTGTCATCTTCTTATAAATCACACAATCACATTTTTAAAGTAAAAATTTATAAGCTAGTTTATGTGGCTTGTTTATACTATTTGAGGATAGATTCGACATTCAAATGAAACATTGAATGTAAAGTTCTGTACTTCTGTTCGAGTTGTTCAATTTTTTGCTGTTTTCAGTTGCCTGCGACTATATCGACATTTTTCCGGACTCGAACGCTCCAGGCACGCTAGGGCTACATGCGATTTCAACACGCATAATTTAATCAATTTTGAACTGGCAGCATGATATTAAACATATAACTATTAAATGTCCTTACACTGCGACAAGCATTGTCTGAATAATTATGTTTGCATTAATTTTGATTGAAAAAAAACGGAAATATGCGCACAAGATTCACGAAGCGCTCGATGTTGCCTATAGTCGTACTGTTTACATTTGGCCGTATGTGATCTGTTCGTTCTGTTGACTGTAGGCTGTAGCTAGCCGGCAGCTGCTACGGTGTTAAGTAGGCTAGCTATGTCAGCCTATGTGCACGAAAATTTTTTCCCTTTGATCCTAAACGAAATTATGTATCAGAAAACATAAAAATCCACAAAATACAAATTCTAGTGGAGTACAAATAAAATTGAAAAATAAACGAATTTTTCCTTTATTCAATGACGTCCCAAAAATAAAAAATAGACAAATTACCTCCTACGACCTACGTGAAATCGTGAATTACCGATCGGCACTACTTTTAGAAAAACCATCATTTCCTATTAGCCAATTTCTAAGATTTTTAGCACCATTAGATAGCTCTTAGCCTAGCCTCTTGTTGTAGGGACCAGTGGGCTGAGTCGCTGAGTGGGGCAATTAGGTACCCGTAAAAAACGCATTTATGGAAGAACCTGTCAACCTTGTTTAGTAAAGGCTCCAGCTAACAAAAAAATCAATTAGGTAAACATAATGAATTCTGATTAAGGCTACCTACATTTACCTTGCTCAGCAAAAGAATTTCACTCAACGAAAAATTAATGCATCACCGGTCATCACAAAATTGTGCATAGAATGTCATAGATAGAATTGTGCACCAGGCAACATAGAATGAGTCTATGAGAAGTAATTACCCTAAACTATGATTTATTCCTCCAAAAAATGTAATGGTTGTCACTAAAATATTCCTTTCTGTTTCGGGTAGGTATGTTTTTTACAATCTGTTTTTCTTAGAGTGAATTCACTTGCCTCAATAAAATGGTAGAAAATTGCAAGCCATCCCAAAAACGAAACCTCTGCTGTCATCATTGCTGCGTTAAAGGCCGTTTGAAGGGCTAAGGCGCGATTCAGACATAACTTCGTAATTCATAGCAAATAATGTAAATAAATAACTGAATACTAAAACAATCCCATTCCTGTAAGCTTACGCCTTACAGATACAGAAGAAATGCTATACGGGCTATGGCTGCTGATATGAAGCTTGTGGGAGACAAGGTTGTTGTCAATGCAAACTGGCAATCTGGCATGTCCATGGATACAGTAATTGGGACTTAGGTAATATCACATCAATATTATTATTATGGACTGTTTTCCGACTGTATTTATGGTAATGTATGCACATCATCATCAAAGGAAGAGGAGGACTTCAGACTCAGAGTTCAGACCTACTGTTAGTAGTGGATGAGTACACTCTGCATAGTTCAGACATTTTGAAATTTAGTTTTATTTCAAGGGTCCCTTATTACCCTATTTACAGGGGGTAATTCAGGAGGCTTTTACTTTGTGTCTGGCACCTTACCATACTTAAGAATAGCACATGGAATTTTTTCAGAGATACCAATCCCAATGCCATATGATAGTAATCAAAATGACCTTTAAAATGAGCTTAAACTTGTTTGTGAAATGTTTCATGATAAGAAGTTTTTAACAAAAAATGCTCAAAACCATCCCATATTCATATTACCCTGTTTGAAGCTTGAAGGTACCTGTATATGTGTAGTGACTGTGGTCTACTAACTCTACTTACATTAAAAAAATTAGATTGTTGCACCCAGCTTTGACTTGAACAGTTGAGGAATATATCAAGTTTTTCAATCGTTACTACAGCTTTCCCGCCATTTATGGCAACATGAGATTCCTGCTTAATGAATAAGCTCCTATCTAATTGTTAATAAAAGTACACAACTGGGTGGTCACAACTTCACAAGTTTCCATATGTATTCGAAATTTATTTCTCAGATAGATTTTTCAATAGAATTGAACTAAAGTTTGTATCATGAGTGTGAACGATGAAGAAAAAAAGCCTTCAGCACCAACTCCTCCTGCAGCACATGAAATGAATGAAGATACTCAGCCACTGTTACTAGATCACAACCCTCACCTCCATCACCACCACCACCATGCCATGCAGCCTGTTGGTGTTGTGGACTTGGAGGCTGACAGCAAACGGAAAATAAGAGCCATAGCAATTATTGGTAAGTAAATGCAATATTTAAGTGCTATTTGCAAACTTGATGGGTACCCTCAACCTTGTAGAGAATAATGTAGATTAACTCAAGAGGGGTGTAAAACTGTTCAGAATTTTATTCCTAGAAATAGCTCCATTCCATTGCTACATTCAGATTATTTTGATTAGCATTTCACTTTCTGCTAATTATATGCATACATCCATCCTTATGAAAATGTTTATTTTTCCTTTGCTTATGAGGCAATAAAAATAATCTCGTATCATTAAACACTGTTTCATAGGAAATGTTAAATAATTACAAACCAATTACTTGAGAAATTCAGAGTTGTATTCTGTATTGGAAAAATTTATGTAAAGAGACGATGTTAATACATAAAATCTTTATGTGATTCTAGTTACCCTTATTTACTGTGAATGAGTAATGAAGTTTTTTTTCCAGGGATGATAGCAGTTTTGGTGGCTGGTGTCCTGAGAAGATTTCCAGTGATAAGCTGCTGCACGGCTCTTGCTCTTGTGCTGCTTTTCTTCCTGTACAGCGCAATTGCTTCTTTTGCCCTTTTTATTGCTTCTTTACTAGGTATGTTGCATTGAGTACCGTACCTATTTCAATAACTAGCATATGTTTCTATCATTTTTCCTATAATAAATTCTTCTAAAATAATATAAATTACAATAAAAGCTCCTAATTTAAGGAACTAAAATTGTAAGTAGGACAGCAGGAAAATATAAAAATCAACAAATGTATTGAAAATATACGTATATAAGGTACGAAGATGAATATGTTGAGAATGTATGGAAAATGTATTTAAAATTAATGGTATAAGTATGACATATGCATTGAAATTTTTGAAAGATGTGAAAATGGTTTGAAAAATATTAATAACAAATGCTTGTAATTATTAATGCATAATTTTTTTCCCTTCTGGCAGGTGTTTTATACAACGCCAGTGACCAAGCTGTGTTCTGTCCAGACTATCCACCCGATGCACGACAATGTGTCATGCTGCCTTCCTCTGTTGGTCTGCCAAGTGAGAACTTGAGACTCTATGCGGCAGACAACACGCGACTACACGCAGTCTTTGTGGGTCAGACAGACCCTGTGCTAAGACTGAACACTTACACCATACTTTATCTACATGGAAATGCAGGCAACTTTGGGCATAGGTCTGAACTCTACACAGCTTTCGTTTATTATTTGTGTTCTTCTAATGCTATCTTCATGCCTAAGAATAACCTAACATAAGAAGCATGAGGGGATGTGTCTAACTATAGTGTGGATTGCCATTTTGTTTTTTTAAGTAAGTTTATTAGTGTGACTTTATATATCTATAAATTAATCTAGGTATTTGTTTGGTTGATGCAATTTGATGAACGTTGTGTTCTAATTTGAGACGTTCAAAACGGCAAACAATACCAGATGCCTTTTCTGTGTACAAATCTCTACTCACAAGTTTTATGTTAAGTTACTGGCGAGAAATTAATGTACTTATGATGTTTTTTGAATTATTGATATATGTTGCTTCTCGACATCTCCCTGATTAAAAATAATTTGTGCAGGCTAGCCAATGTGTGCGGTCTTTTCAACCGCATCAAGTGCAACGTGCTGCTGTTGGAGTATCGAGGCTACGGCTTCAGCTCAGGCCACCCGTCAGAAGCTGGGCTCTACCAAGACGCCACAGCAGCACTCAACTACCTGCACACCAGACAAGATATTGATGTCAATAAAATTGTGGTCTTTGGTAGATCTTTAGGTGGGTTTTGGTATCTCCTAGCGTTTTATTTGTTGCAACCAAGAATTTAAAAACTAACAAAATGCCAAGTGAATTAAGCTTTATTTCGTTAAACATTATGGTTACTCTGATTTACTTTTTGGCATTCCATATGATCTTGAATTCTTGGTTCATTTGTGATTTAAGATAACCAACGGTATGTTATTGTTTTATTATTGGTAAGCTGGGCAAATTTCAACAGTAAATGTGTGAATAATTTAATAAGTTGAAATTAATAGCTTTATTGTAGAGTTGCGAGCAATTGTGTTCACACTGTCGCAGGTGGCGGAGTCGGTATTGAGTTGGCAAGTAGAAGCAACGCAAGACAAGAACTTCGAGCCCTCATTGTAGAGAACACCTTTACCTCCATACCTGATATGGCTAAGGCACTGCTGCCTAAGAATAACTTCATCACCAAGTTGCCTCTTTGCTGTTATAAGAATCAGGTCGGTCTTAAATCTTACCATCATACGAAAAGGGGATTAGTTTCCTTTAATATCAACAAGTTGCAAATGGTGGTGTTTTAATAAAAATCCTGTCAGTTGGATCACCTACTCTCAATATTCTGTGACTAATAGCAAATGGCGACTCTAACAGAAATATAATAATTCTTAATTTTAATTTATTGTTCTCTAGTTCCTATCGCGGCTGAAGATCCTGCGGACGGCTGTTCCCACGCTGATCGTATCAGGGCTACGGGACACGCTCGTGCCGCCCCACATGTCAGTGCAGCTGCATCAGGCGTGCGGCGCGCACCACAAGCGCTTGGTGCGCTTCTCCCACGGCACACACAACGACACTTGGCGCTGTCCAGGATACTACTCCGCTCTCAAGTATTTCCTGGACGAGGTGAGCTGGGCGTAAGTCTGGCGCAGTACTCCGCTCTGAAGTAATTTCTGCATTAGTAATTACTAATTCCGAGGACGAGCGACGTTTAAGGGGATCCCCGTTTTTGTTAAGGGGATCGTTAACCTTTTGTCTGCCCGGGGAACTCTCGTTTCCTGGCTTATTGGTATCAATATCTTTGTATACAATCCTGGCGTCAATCCATAGGCCTGAGGTTAAATTTCGGTAATCAAGTGCGTGGTCGAGATATTTTCAGGTTGGTTTGTGTCTCCACATCGTTGGATATTCTGAGCTGCACTGAGAGAAATTACATGTTCGTGTTTCCTTAATACTGGACGAGCAATCAGTTAAAATTGTTGGGGTCTTGCCAGTCTCCAATTTCGGTTCACTTAACGTGTACTAACTCACAATAAATAGTTGACGCATCCGGTCCGGGCTTGACATATAAAGTAATATTCCACCAATTCCCATTTATAAAAAAATATAACTCAGTACTCACTGCAGTGAGTGACAGAGAGTGCATTTTCTCGTCGACGAAAACTTGAGGTCACGGACAGACGAGCACAGACAGACAGACGTACGGACGGACATGGCGAGCACAATAGTGCATTTTTTCCATAAATGAGAAAATGCGCTAGAAACTGAAATTCTATTTTAATTTTTTTCTTTTTTATTCAGTGTTGAAATTTTCACGCCACGTTCATAACTTCATACTGGCGAAAAAATATATTATGTTTTTCTTCACTAGGTGACTGGTGGAGCGCAGGTGTCGCCGGTGTTCCCGCCAGGAGTGACGTGGCTGCGCGACGCGGCCCAGAACCTATAGCCATGACTGGACGGCAGCTTGTGCGCGATTCCATGAAGTTCTTGACTTCAATACGTCAAGAAGTTCTTCATTGCCGCCTGAAGTTCTTCACTTTTGAAGGGATGAAGAAATGTGTGCGTTGTGTAGAAGTTTGGGCATTGTCGTTCAGTATTTGAAAAAATCCTGGTTCAATAACCTTATAACTCCACGCCAACAGACTTATTTATTTATGATTTTTTTTTTTGCTCCTGTGAAATTGCGTGTGCATCTATCTCATTGCTTTCTCATGAACGAGTTATTTTATACTTGTCTTACAAACTGTCATTGTAGGTATTCTATATAGGGGCAAATAATCTTTATGTTTACCGCGATTTTAAACTTCTATGCCTTCAAATTTTGTATCTAGTTAAATTTTTTAATGAACTCTCACAGTAACGTCACATCAGTGACTCTAGTTTCTTGTAACAGGTATCGCGGAATCGTTGTGTTCAAAGTCTAAATTCTATTCCTCTAATATTACTTCAATTACTTCATTGTTTACTTCGTTTACTTTTGGTTATTTAAACAGAACATTTCAGAAATGGGGATTTTGATCAATTGTTTTCAGTAAAGTGAATAATCAGAGAAGTCTTAGTGCTGGGAATATATGATGCTATTGAATTTTTATGCTGTTTATTGCGTCACTGGTTCATGAATACGTCTCACTGATTGCCTTAAGAACCATAAATTTCAATGGAATTTTCACCTGTAAATCTTCTAGATTTTACGTTTGAGTGGCCAGTAACTGTTGGGAGTGTTAGCGTACTATAATTTATGCTTTAGTTAAAGCTTTTTTACGTTTTCTGCTTCTTGCTTATCAATGAGTGATGGTTTTCAGCGGGTCTTAATTAATGCGCGGAAGCTGCCATTTGCTTGTATGAGTGTGCAAGGATCTCTAATAATCATTGTTTGTTCTCTCTTATTATCCATTCACTTGTTTATATGCCGAATACATAAAATCTTGTTATGCTCAGTAATATGCGATATTCATTTCATTATTTTCGCCGCTTTGATCTTTTTGAATGTCTGAGTGCAAGTTCAATGGGTCTTTCACTCACTTTTTCCGTCAATATTAATAAAAACCTAATAGAAATCTTTGTACCTATATGTTTTTAAATGTTAGTTGCCTTGCTTTAATTGGATTTATGGTATGATTAAGAAAGCTTAATATTTCCCGTCTTCTCAACTGAGTGTGCAGTCCGACATTATTTCCTGCACCCAGCATGAGGAGAAGTTTACTCTCCCCAACGTCAAAGACTTCTTCTACAGTACGAAATTAAACATTTAGAAGAATTACTCGCATTCATAATGAAGGAAGATACTTTTAACCAATGTCACGTTCTCAACTTTGTTTTTCAAAATCAGTTAATAATGTTTTTTGTTTCTAGCAAGTTATTCCTGGAATCTTTATGTTTGTTTAAATCTTTGCACAAGTACGTACTTATCTTCAAACCCCTTGTCTGCATCGCATTTTTTTCATTAAGCCTAAGCAAGAGTATCCTATTAACTCGTATACATGTATTTATTTTATGCTGTAAATAGTAGAGTGAGATGCTGTAAGTTTGCTGCTTGTGTTGCCTTTTGTTATCTTGGTAATATAATAATTTTAATGGCTCAAGGGCCCTCCATTTAGAGCGGTTATTGCTATGCCCATGGTTCAGGCTGTGACCGTGAGTGTGCAAAGCGTTTTTAAATTTTTGATAGTATGATTGTATGCTTGAGTTTTGATTGATTTTTTTTAGACTTCGCTCTTCCGTCCAACATTTTATAAAATTTAATGACGGAGCTTGCGTAAATCATCCGTCGGTGTATATATGTTTTGAAGTCAGTGGAGCATATGTCAGTAGAGCATATGATTATGTCTGCAGCAAATGCGTTTTATTTGCAAGTTTTGGCGATCCCCGACTCATAATTAATTCCAATATGAAAATCTGATCTTCAGGTGTCTATATGCTTTCGGTTATCCTTGTAGTGCGGATTGGTCCATGTATGAAGCGTTCTTTACGTGATGACATTAAAGGGATCCTATGAGGATTGTTGGGTTTCGTGTAAAGCAAAGCAGCAGATGTTTGTCACCTCCCTAAGGAACAAACGTTTGGAATGTTATGCATGTGCAACTCTCCCTCTTGCGACATTTTATTTATGTTCTTCTAGCCCGCACACTAATGGATCAGCAAAAGAAGAAATGCATCTCTCCTGGTAACGAGTTTCACATACAAGCAGAAATTAAATGGACGTTGCTCATGCAATTCAATGATCTCTTGTTTTGTTTGCTCTGCGAGATCTTTTATACTGTATAGTGGTCTAATATCCCGCTATTTTTTTTATCGTTCTCGCAAAATTCAGAGGAAATAAATCGATCATGTACACAACCAATCCCTGATCTCTCGTTACTATTTGGCTGCTGTGCCGAATGCCGTGTCCGTTCTTACCGTTAAAATTTGGCTCATTTTTTGGAAGAGTTCTTCGCTGCTGCTAATCATTCGATCGCAGTTTTGAAGCAATACCTGAAGTTGTGTGATAGCAAGATGATACCAGCGTCACTATGGGATTTAAAAACTGGAAGGACGATATTGTTCGCGCGGGAAATATGTGCCCATGCTTCAGTTTAGGTCTGATGTGAGCCTTCAAAGTAAATGTGTAATTTCTATTTACATTCTATATATTTTTTTCTAGAGATAAAGTCCCTATGTCCGATAATCGTATCAACTAGTGTATATAGTGTAATCTAGTATTTCCACTCGTTAATTGTTGCAACGACCAATGTGTCTTCAATCATAGATATTTTTACCAATGTTGTTGCCGAAGAACTTTGTTATTTTAGCAATCTACATTTTATCTGTGATTGCCGTGTTTCTTTATCCCACCTGTTGAATAAGTACTGTTTTTAAGATGTATTTAACCATCGTCTACTGATACATTAACAGTCATCCATGCCATTGGTATTTATATGCCTGATAGGTCATAGGCGTTACCGTCAGTGGACTAAGAGGCTAACCGCGTGCTCGGATATGTAGAACTTTCGGAACGTGGAGTTCTGATTTATGTAGGTTCTGAGCTGAGTCTCCTTCGCTACAGAAATAAATGCGCCGGACTTGCATTTTCTCTACTTTCTTGCAAGATGGCATAACAGGTTTGACCAAAACTGGCCATCATCTTGACATTAAAACTATCTCGTTGTACAGTAAACTAATAACTAGCTCAGGCACAGCTAATCAAATACGAATCAGAAGTTATTTCAATTTGGATTGTTGATTAGATAGTTTTAGGCAGCTCAAATTTAATATTTGTTCGTTCATGATTGATCGCTAGAATTACTTCATAAATCATTCAGAGAGTCGCCTGAGGGATCGCCTGCCGAAGACCATCACTGCCCTGGATGTAATGGACCATCATGATTCCTGCCTTCCGGAACGTAGCCTTCAACACTTCAAGCCGTCCGTATCCAGGCCGTGCGTCGAACGGGTGGATAGCTAGAGGTCAGCATAGCCCAAGTCCACAGTGCGATTCATATACCTTCCCGAGCGTAACGCAGCCGGGCATCTTCACGGCTTTTGACACAAAGCGCCCACCACAACAGCGCAGTTCAGTCACAGGCCGGAGCGCATATAGGCCGCAGTACAACTGGCCGGAGCGCAGCAGGCTCTACCGCAACAGCTACTCCTAACGTAACCTAACCTGCGCCGCCTGTTGCGGTAGGGCCTGTTGCGCTCCGGCCAGTTGGGCTCCGGCGCTGTGAAGCAGTGGCTGTGTTGTGCAAAGCGGATTTACTATAAAATTACGTAATTCAACGATGCCCGGAAGTCATATTCGATCCGCGGCCTGGTGGTGCACGGCAGGTTCTATGCAAGGCCGGAGGTGGACAAAGCCGAGTGGTTCACGGCTGATTGGTGGATGTCCGGAGAGATCCAAGGCGTTCGATTCAGGGCTTATTGGTGTACAAAATTGGTGGTGCACGGCTGCGCTCCCCGCCCGAGTTGAGACGTTTCCGTTTTACTTGCTCGTTTAGGTGCGAGAATGGAAGAAACAAAACGATTGGCTGTGTGGTACGATTATCCGAAAAAAAAATTGATCCGATTACGCAACATAATACTTAAACTAACTAAATGTTATAGTCCCTGGAAAACATGAATTTTTCATCAATGAAATGCAAAATCGACGTTTATCCACTAATTCTACTAAAACAAGGAAAAGAAAATTGTCATGGCTGCATGTGAGATAATTATAGCGGCTTGAAGTAACTAATAAGGGCCGTAGTCAAAGTTAGGTTTAGACTAAAAACTAGCCTGCTTAGTGTGCTTAGTGCTTACTGGTTAGTCTTCACGTAACTGTAGTTCAAATAACAGCTGTTCGCTATAGTAACCGCAAGTCCAGTCAATTGGCCGGCACGAGCAAAAAAATCAGTCACAGTCGGTGAACTTTAAGAATCTTATGTGTCCACCATTATAGCGGTTTCAGCGTTTATTAGGTTGTAGGCCTGTCTCCTATTTTTAACATCGCATAATATCCACAGTTTTTGTGGTCACGATTCACTAACTCGCTGCTGCCGCTCCTATTTTGCTTTGCACGGCATCGTCGCCGATTTTGACCAGAAGCCGCCAAGCCGGTGCACAGAGCTGGGATCGAACACATACCCCTCTGCTCCAATCCTAGTTCTCTGGAACTGTAACCACTGGGCTTTCCTGCCCCTCCACTGCTTATTTCCGAGCTATTATACCAGTCAATTAATGCTTTTCACATTTCAAAGTGAGTTCTAAAAAGTGTTCAACATGAATATGAACGAATGGAGTGTACTTTGAACAAAAAATCTTGTGCTGAAACTAGGTTTTATCAAATTGACCAGTCTTCAGTGAAAATTAATGCACCGTATTATATGAGTGAAGTGGTTCTGACTATCTCTGTCATTCGTCTGGAAATTTTCATTGAAACTATGGTAGTGTCTGAGTCTTGACATATGTATGGTGTTAAGTTTGGTCAATTATAGTCTTCTTGCAAGATGTGAATTCTGATGAAGTTATTACGTGTTGAATCGTTTATGAAATTATATGTATTTAATCTTTCACATTGATGGAAATCAACATATATTTCTTACATCTAGTGTTTTTGAATCATTAAGATTAATTCCATCAATAGGTAATTTAACTAATTTTCCACATTCCGAATATACCTAGCGGGCGTACGACGATGATAAGGTTAGGACGGCTGGCCGTGCTACGTTCAATCTGATTTTTTTTTTTGTTGTGCCTCTTGTGCTTCCAGCCTTGACAAATGATGGTTTTCGAGAACAGTGGAGAGGGAAGCCCCGCCTAAATAATCCAAAACAATTTTTAATTTTTACTTCGAGTTTTAAAAGTTATTGCAGTGAAAAGGTTTAAATTTATAAAATAATGTCGAATAAAACAACGCGCTTTCGCCCACAAGAATTGGAAACTAACTTTGAAACTAGCCTTGCAGGTTGGCGGCATGTTCATGTCGATGGAGAAGTCACTAGTAGCTGCTTCAGTGAAATTCCTGGAGTAGCTGAGTTGAATGCTAAAAGCGATTAGGATTTAGGAATTTATATAAAAAGTGTTGTGCGTTCATTCTGTATAGTAGTAGCCTTTAAATAGAAATGGAATAAATATCCAGTTTATTGCAAATCAAGGGCTTATATAAAATCGATTAAATTTCATATTTTTTCTTTACCAGTTTTCTTCGTCACATTTTTCATTGATTCAGACATTTTAATCTTCTTTCGTAACTACGCATCATAAGAAACAAGAATCATGAGTTCGTCAAAATGGTTGGCGTCCAAGCGCCGCTCGTCTCTAAACCAAATCGAACCTCTCGGCCACGTGTCCAAACTCCTGACATTACGCAGCCCTCGACCTGCAGAAGGCCTTGCAAGATATCAATCTGACTCCAACTTAATGAAGTGCAGAACCCTGAAAATTCCCACCTTGAATATCAGTTTTACGTCGGAGGAACACTTTGAGAATCATGAACGCAAGCGGTCGTTACCTGAAGAGGATGGATTGACTGCCAATTCATATATTAAAGACAGGAGAGCTTCGTGCGGGCCCTGCCTTAAACGGTCCTACGTTCGGTCGCCCTTGCAGAGGTCAGTTTTACAACAGAAATTTAATTAGGCCAATAATTAATGTAAATTCCACTTTGTAACCTTACAGCAATGGGCAAAATATGTATTTCAGGAATTCAGTCCGAGAAGCATTTACTGACATTTTCAAAATTACCTCAGCAGCTTTCCCGAGTCAAGTCGTCGCTTGTCTCTCGCATCAGTGGAAGCGTCTCCAGTTCACATTCAGGTGAGATCTTATTTCGAAATTTAAATAATCTTATATTACTAGTTTCGCCTTCCTCTGTCATGTTTTTGTTACCTCTAAAACTATGGTTATTTCGTACGGGTGTTCTACATCCGTTAGCTGATAGCACCTGGCTGAATTTTCGTTCACAATTCAGGAGCTCTTAAATTGTAAAAATCTTGCTTTTGCCGAACTGTCATACTTGTTCCAGTTTCGTAAAATTGTCTTTGTGTTAAACGTTTTTGTGTTAAAAATTAAAGTCTCCGAAGTCATTGTGTTAAAAATTTATATAAGTACTGATAATGATTGATGACTTTGAAATATTCAATGAAAAACAATTTTAACTTGAAAAAGCTCACAATTTCTCGGAAAAACTATCTTGCCGATGACAATTTTACTCGCAGGAAACGTCGTTCCAGCGAAGGCGGTCTCTGTGTGCGCTCTCCCCTGTACTGGCCAGCACGCCTATCGAGGTTCATGCTTGAAAATAAGTTAATAATAGAATTTCAAATGTTAATGAAGAATCTCGTGCATTAATAATTAGAAAATTCATAGTTAATTTCCCCGATTTCCCATAGTTAGTTTCCCCATGAAACCATTCCCTGTTTTTAATTAATAAAATCAATCATTTTTTTTTTGTTGGAATGGTGAGTGTGGGAGGCCTTAAAAAAAATTTCCCGATTCTTCCTGATAATTTGCTCTAATTTTGATCATTTGGCAGGATTCTGGCCACAAGAAAGACGCTTTCTTTCGCACGCCTTCGCTATCCCCGTGCGTAGAGGACGACTACAGGGAAGATAAATTCTATTTCTCTTCTTTCGGAAAGGAATCTGATCCCTTCCAAAGTTCATCTCGTGACCACAGGTCTTTTTCTCAAATAAAGTATACCTCAAGTGATGAACTTCTACGATGCCAGCAGTCGAGGCTTGAGTCACACTCGATTGCGGTTTCAAACTTGAGTGATTCGCAGAGATATTCGACGGCAAGCGGCTTGTCTTCTGACGAGAATCTTCAACCAAACTTAACGCACTCGAGAAAACCTAGTGACGGAAATTTATTCTCCACGGTTACATCAAGAAAGAAGCACATCATTCCTACAATAGAGATTGATTTTGCAAGTCCAGGTCAGTATATGCCAATTTCGAAGTCATTTTCACGCAGGTAAAAGTAGATGCAGATGATTTTATAATTTGTATATTTCATCTATATATATGTCTGCATATGCATAGTCAGCTGCCTACTGTAACAAATAATGGGCGATATATCCGTTTTAATTCTGAAATCTTTACGCCGCCGCATTCTCAATTTAGGCTTCTCTAGTGATAGTCTTTATTATGTAAGGGCTACCTTGCATTACTTCTAATGACATTCAACATTGTTTTGAACAGTTTCAGTGAATAAATCTCAGCCTGTTGTCCACGAGGGCTTCTCACTCTGGCTCGTGGAGCATGTACAGGATGAGCAGCAACACGGGCAGCTCTTCTCGCATGATCGCGGCAACCCTCAAACGAAGCTGCACACCTCTGGCCCACTAAAAAATATGTACAGATCCTTTTCAAAGTTTCCAGCAAGTCAAGCTCGGAATAAAAACTCGGCTTTTTCTTCAGCCTGGTTAAACACTACGTATGGAGGGCGAAATAAAAGCTTTGTGAACTCCTCCTCCATTGGATGCCGAAGTCCCAGGAGAGTTTCCCTCCAGCCCGAGGGGTTGCCCGCTGTCCGGGCGTCTAGAAAACTCTCTGTTCACCTGCCAAGGTGAGGAATGATAGCAGTTTCAGCGTTCAGTAGGCCATAGGCCTGTCTCTGATTATTAACATTGAAGAACATTCACAGCATTTTGCCAGTCTTGAACTCGCAACTCACTGCTACAATTCTGCGGCTTAACCGCTCGGCCTCCTCGCCGATTCTGACGAGAAAATAACGCACCGAGCTGGGACCGAACCCGCGCCTCTCTGCGCCAATCTTGGTACTCTGTACTGTAACCACTGGGCCACCCTTCCCTTAAATATTGATGGGGATGAGGCTGTATAACGTTATATATTATCGAGAGAAACTTTATTTGTAGTGTTTGTAACATAATAGAGTATCGAGTGGAACGTCTTTTGGAACATATGTTTTTGTTTTTAGTTAGAGGTTACGATAGAAAGTTGGACAAAGTCTAATCTCAGTGCAATCTGTGTACTCGCAGAATGAAATAGCCATAATTTTGTTAATGCAGCAATCTAGGATTGCGTGCTTTAGAGTTTCAATTTAAAATCAAACTCTATTTGCTGTCTCCATCTATTTGTGACGTTTGCAAGCAAAGTTTTCTGGAGAACTTTTCTAAGTTGTCTTTCGTTTAATAGTACTTACTACTTATACATGCTAATTGTAGAAATGTTGCATATTCACCTTCAGTAAACAAAATAGAATCTATGACTAATGATTACTGCTATTTGTAATCTTAAATTTTACCGACATTTCCTGACAATTGACAAGTGAACCTGAATTTGTTCGATCAAATTTATCATGTGGAAAAAATATTCAAATATAAATTAAAGGGTGAGTAGAAATCGAATCACACTGTTTATTAATACGCTTCCATGTTTACTGTTTACGTTCGACGATTTTGCCTGTTTTTAAGTTGTATAATCTGATGAAGAAGTTACATAACATAAGTGAGTTACATAGTGAGTGAACACTAATCCAATTGATAAGACGGGTCGTCGCAAGTCTTTTATACCCAAGTCACTTGTCACAGCCACCATGCTATACCGCCAGCATAATATCAACGTTAGTATTACTTTCATCGCTGCTACCGTGTGATGCCGTGAGCATAATTCCAAGGTTAATGTCAACTTCATCATTGCTACTATGTGATGTTTCCATACCGTGTGATAATTCCATATTTAGTATCACCTCTAAGTGTTTGCTACCCACGAATTTGTTTGCTTAGGTTACGAGCTCCGATTTTCTCGTCCCCCGTCGAACGTTCTCGAGAGAAGCGCCCTCTAGGCGTGGAAATTGGCAAGGGTGGCTTCGGGACAGTTTGCCTGGCGACTTTCGAAGGTCAGCTCAATATTGTTTCAGTTATTTCTAATCTATTTTACATAGACACAGGAAATGATTGACCAGCATGAGTAATAAATTGCATTGCAGGAGACTACGTAGCAGTGAAGAAGATCCAGGCGAGCAAGACGGTCGCGTGTCGGGACAGCGAGCGTCTGGCGCTGCTCTTCCAGCAACACCCGCACCTCGTGACCACCGTCGCCGTGGTGGAGCCCTTGCCAGGGTCGGGGCAGGTCTTGCTCAGCAGACGACTACAGGGCACGACCCAGTCTGTAAGCCCTGTTATTGATGTATTATATGTGTGCTAAATTATTATTATTATTATTCTAGGGAGCGATTGTCGTGTCGTCTGGTTCATCCAATCTCCGATGGCACGTTACACATTGAGAGAGCTATGAATAAGTTTGATAGTGAAAATAAAATACACGAAAGATAGCAAAGACAAAAGGGTACATTTATTGTGAATAAAATGGAAAAATTGAAAGTATACCCTCAATTGAATCAATTTATTTGAGCTGAAGAGATTTTCTTTTTTCTTCGATCTGTTTGGTTAGTCGTTACAGTGATGCGTCATTTTTTGTCGCCGCATAACCGCCTTGACGCCATAAAAAATCAAATACTGATAACTAGTGGCTATAACATAACTACAAACCATTGCTAGTGCAACTCTACTGGATTCCCTTATTTAAGTCTTATAAGTCGTGTCTTCTTTCACATGAGAACACGGCGGAGGAGATCTCCCTAGAGGCGCTCACTCGTAGCCTCGGTCTACACACCACTACAGGGCACAGACAGTCTGCGGTGGACCGCTGCCAGCAGTACGGCTTTACTAACCTCCAAACAAGTTTACTGAAAAGCACCAAAACTTTTCTACCAATTAGCGCCACAGTGAACGGCAGCGACTGGCTGTGGGTCATCAGTGAGTTGTGTTCCCCAACTAACCTCCACACGTTGGTCCACTCCACCGCCGAACTCACCATCAAACAGAAGTTAAGGTTTGTGCTGAATGCCGCACAAAAACGCGGCCTATCTTTGTAATCATGTTAAATTGTATTATTTTCTATGGATGTCATATATGATGCAATTAATACTTGATTCATGCTGATTAAATAATCGTTTAGTTGCTCGTGACTAATGCGTTGAGGTTCGTACCCTGTAAACTAAATTCAGTTTACATCGATCCTCTGATCAACATCAAACATTTTTCTAATAAATAAAAGGTTAATAAGTTATAGTACAAAAAATTGGTATTGTATTTGGCGAGGGAGGTTTTTGGGTGAGCTGGCGAGCGGGGTGACGTTCCTGCACGAACAAGGCTTCGTGCACCGCGACGTGAAGCCCGCGAACGCCTTCCTGACCTACGGCGGCACCATCAAGCTGGGCGACTTCGGGTGCTGCGGCGACCTCAGCGGGGACATGAGTCCTGTGAGTTGAACTGCTGTGGTCCTTGCTGATGTACCTGGTAGCACAAAATTGAGGCTTTTGCTTTAGTCCTTACTGAATTAGCATAAAATTGAGGCTACATATACTACGTACATTGCTACTTGCACTTTTTTTTGATGCGTTTAATGAAGCTTGCTACTGCCAAGTAAAAAAAAAGAAATATTTGATGGATATAAAGGAACATTTGCCCTTTAGAATAATCGATGATATTTTTCAAGAACTGTGGATACAAGAAAACAATTGTACTCGCAGAACTAAAGTAATTTGTCCTAAGGTAATCGGGACCATTGCATACCAAGCGCCCGAGATCCTCCAAGGTGAATCAGGCAGTGAGAAGTCTGACGTGTTCTCGCTGGGCGTGACGATGTGGCACGTCTTGCACCGCACTGTACCTTACTGCGGCATCCATCCTCACGTCATCGCCTACAACGTCACCAGGACCGGCATGCGGCCCGATGCTCCCTGGCCTTTGGAGCGCAACTCCGAAGGTAGCTGCATGGTTTCGTGGGTGCTTATGCATCGTAAATCCGCAGTGAAATGCATTAGTTAGACTGTAGTCTGGAGTGCAACTCCGCAGTCAGCTGCGTCATTTTGTTAGGGACTATATAACGTAACTCTGAAGTTGAGATGCATTATTTAGAGTGAGGTCATGAGCGCAACTACGCAGGCGAGTTGCAATATTTCGTGAGGACCATGTAAAACATGTAACGTCATTCCCCGGGCGAGATTCTTTATTTAAAGTGGCTTTTAGCGCGGAAATATATTCCGCTATACTTTTAGTGTTTGGCTGTCACGATTTCTCCAGATGATGAGCATTATTTCGAGTGGTAGCTTGAGCGTAATTTCACTGGCGGGGTGAACCATTTTCTGACACCAATATAACGCAACTACCTGGTTAAATACATCAATAAAAGTGGGGTCTGGAGAGGAAAGCTAGTGATATTTTGAAGGAGTTCCATAGAGGAAGTGCGAATTTGGTCATTTTTTAGGTGTAGGCTGTCGTGCTCTCTGCAGATCATTTGCATCGTGTTTAATGACCGACAGTGTCCACCTGTATAGATGATTCTGTAGATCATAATCATGCAGTGGGCCAAGCAAATATCACGCTCGCAGTCGAGGCGTACCCGGACTGTGTCTTTGAATAAAGTGACTGAATTCTATTCACTGCGCCTTATTCAGACCTGGCTCCTTGAGAATCACACGTTTGGGGTTATTGAATATTGCATGAAAATATCCCTGAAGGGAAAATTGAATTATACCGACAATTACAATAGTTAGTCATTATTATCCTCTCAAAAGAGGAATTTTTTTGACGCACTTTGTATCTGGATTTCAGATACATCACACTGCAAGAAGTTGGATCTCCTTGAGACCATGCTGACAATGCTGGCACGCAAGTGCTGGCATCAGCAATCCAGTGAGCGGCTGTCGACCACCTCGGTGTGTCGCAGCCTCGCTATCCTGTACCTCACTCCATGAACAACTGCCATCAATTCTGTCCACTTGAGCAGAGAAATGTTTAGCAGCGAACTTCTAATTTTGAGATTAAAACTTTAGTGAGAAATGTGAGTAAACACGTAAGACAACTCAAGAACCTTGATATCTCGGAGCTTAATTTCCGAACACCTTCTTTGTGTCAGCTCAAGTAGTATAATAATAATGTGAAAGATTGGTTTAGATAGATTTGCACATTTACATCGTTATCAAAAAGTACTCTGGGGAACCGAGGCCTTTGGTCTTTTAATCTCATGATGAAATTTTCTGTTAGTTTCTGAAATTAGCTAACAGTAATTTTATCCTCGTGATAGTATATGTTTTCCATGTGATTTAGTTACTTGCAGCGGCGCGTTGTAGCTGAAATATCAATCAATCATATCAATGAAATATCTTTTCTTTTCAAGTGCATTTCCTTCATTATTATGAAGATACATTGATAAATTAAGCACGTTAACAAATATTCTATTCATACAGGAGCTCCGCGGGCGAAGTTCGTCGTCGCACGCGGGTTAATGCACTTCATGAGATGACAAGTTTAAGTGGGTACTCGATTATTCAATTTATCGAGGTAACCTTGGGCAATTATTTGACTCAAAAAATGCACTACTTGTATGGACACACAGCAAACCCCGCGAAAAAGTAAATTTGCCGTTAAGTTCTGTTTGAGTGAACGCCGATTTTCCGGCGTATTAAAAATCTCCTAAGTATTTTGATGTCAATAATGGAGAAACACGCCTTAGTGCTGGCGTCAACTGAACGAAGAAACCAACTCGTAGCAACCTCAAACACACCAGAAATGAGCTTGAGCTTTTAAATTATATTGGAACTAAAGGTTTCCATTGCTAATTACTTGAGAAATTTTATCTATAGAGCGTTCTTTTGATAGTAGTTTTCAGGTCTGAAGACAGTGATGAATATCACAATTCCTGAGAAAGAACTCACAACCTAAAGGCTGATCTGAGAAATGATTTACTTTCCTTGTACTTCAGCGTATGAATAATACCGATTTTTTTTAGTGATAAATCTTAATTTCACTTTCACATTTACAGTTTAAATCTAGAATTAAATGGTGTGGGATTTTTCTAACTTATGTGTTCTTTTCTAAATTTTACCAGCGTCTATTTTAGTTGTATTCTAAAGCTGTTTTAACGAGTTTTCTAGTAGCTTCTTGCCACGAAGTTTTGTTTGATTTGCTTTATACGAGTCTCTTCAAAGTTTCATTAGAGACTCGAACACATGTTCATTAGTCTTCGATGAGTTAAAAAAATATTTGGTTTAATTTCGATGTATTGTAAGATGTTTATTAAAATATTTTATCGCATTACTAGTTTCACCTTCGTCTTTCGGAAGGATCTATCAGTAATGTAAACAAACGAGAACAGGCAAAAAGAATGATTAATATTTATTATATGCTTTGATATATTATGTAAAATGAGGTCATGATGCATGACCTTTGTACCAGAGAGTATGAGTCATCAAGGCAAGTCAACATGGAGTTGTGAATTTTTCATATGCCTAAACATCTTATTCGAAGACACCATGTATTGAGGCAATGCAAGGTTTCCTTCTCAAGGCTCAACAAGGAACAGGTAACATTTACCTAAAAATATCGAAGAATAATGTCGAAAATATGCGCGTGTGTAGTTACCTAAAAATATCGAAAATATGCGCGTGTGTTATTGCTAACATTAATATTTAGTATCACACAGGGGCTGGTAAATGAATGAACTGGGTACTCTTGAATTGAATTTCAAAAGCAAGAAATTCTATTAAATATTAAATTACATATTCTTTATATAATTTAAAAATAAAATTAACAAGACACGCGTTGCAGGGGCGGCAGCGGCCGCGGCGCCGTACAAGTCCCTTGATGGAAGTCGTCCGCGTGACACCAGCAGAAGCTTTGAGTGTCGCGCTTCATAAGGCAGGTCCTTGAACGGCACTACACCAGCCTCCACCTCTGCAACCTGCACACAATGTTCATACTTCATTATCATAATGTATTGTAATTTAGCAATATTTTAATAATTATAGTACCTATTTATTTATGTTAATTATATTTTTATACTTCACACTTTGATTAGGACCAGCTGGATATTAGAGATCAGCCCTTTTTCAATTCTACGCGGTTACTTGGTGAAAGTTTGCAAACCTAACTCATCTTTTTTTTTAGATTTACTGCATACATAGGATTATTCCACTGGCAATGACTAGTATGATTTCTGTGAAAAGACCTTCGCATTAATCAGAAAAATCATTGGTAAAATGACGTCGACTTCATAGCAGCTTCATCAATGTCAGGGATAATTCAATTTAAATCGTTCGATTATCCTGTCGAAAGCTCATCAAAAGATAATCACGTGCCCCCATCATATCGAATTCGTGCCCGGATCATAACTAATTTCAAAGTCTCACCTAAACTAATCCCGTAGCACAGGAATCATGAGCGTCATTTGAGCGCCGCCGTGACTGCATCGGCGATAGCGCGGTACTTTTGCTCGGTGTCCACGAAACCTGCGCCGCGCTGCACAACATAACCACCAATTAATTAACCCACACACCAATTAATTAACCCACACACCATAACAGTAATTTCAATAGAGAAAATTATAGAGATTACTGAGGAAGTAATGTACAACGAAGCAAAGCTGCGCAACACAACCGCATCAGGGCAGGCCCGAGCTCAAAAAATTGATTGTCAAGGAAGCAACGAGTTGAGCTCGAAAATTCGAACAGCTTTTCAGCATCAAATCAGTTTTAATGAGTTATGTCAGAGGACCAGTTATTACTATGCCTGGGGCCATACTTTCAAAACTCGCTAAGTGAACGCAAGTACTTACGCTCTATTTTCTCGTCTATGATTGGTGGATTTTGCTTGAAAGGCCGTCAATGATTGGCTGATGAACGTACGATCTCTTAACTTTTTTTTTTTTGAAAGTATGGGCCCTGGAAATGATTTACGAAGATACTCGACAGGTCAGACTCTGCCTTATTTCCAACTCGACAATGTTTTGCAACACTAAGCTATTATATACTAAACAATGCTATACAGCACGAGATAATGCTATGATATAAAATACGGCTATACAAGTAGACTGAAGTGCTCACCTTCTTGGAGTGGACGAGTTTGTCGCCCACTTTGACCTCGAAGAGACCCGTCATGCCTGGAGTTCCTTCTCCAGTCTGCACAGAGAATGAAGTCAGACTCTAACACTCGACAGAACTCAATAAGTTCTCTTATAAAAATGGTCAGTGGCAGGAAATTGTACTGGAAACAAGATAGTTGCATAAAAATTGTTTTCTATGGAGTTCTTATCAATCGTAAGCTGCCAAAAACGCCATAACAACAACACTGTCGCCCAGGGATGCGACAGGGAAACGGGAGCAGCCAGGTCAGGTGCACCTTTGAGCCCAGTGAGTCAGGATACAAAAAATTTGAGAAAAAAAAATGCAAAATTAATTTATCACATCTTGAGGGTATTTTTGCCATAAAATTTTTAACGTTACGATTTTAGCAGTACATTATAACTAACATAAATATAAGTACTGAGACACGATGTTTGTAGGGCACCAATGAGCGGCCCAGTCTTCGAGGTTCCCTTACCTGAGCCGCAAGTTTTACGCTATCCAGGGGGAATAATTCGAGAGAATGTTCAACGAAGTCGTAAGATAATACATAACGATAATACTGAGCAGATATATAATCTACTCACCACTTCAATCTCATCGGGGAACTCCTTCAGCAGCTCCGCCTGTAACGAGCGGAACTTGCCAGCGTAGCCTCAGGCTCCGCTGTAGGAAGGCTCGTTTTAGATGTGGTAGGAATAAAATAAATAATGGAGATGTAGTATCTGTAAATAAGTGATGTCACTCTCCATATTCAGAAATTATGTGTAATAGGAAGGCTTGTTTTTAGATGTGGTTTGAATATGAAAAATTGTGAAGGTATGATCTTGAATAAATGATGTCACTATCTATTTAGAAATGATGTGTAGGAGGAAGGCTTGTTTTAGAAGTAGTAGGAACAAGACAAATTGTGAAGGTACGACCTTAAATAAATGATGTTGCTATCCATATTCAGAAATCGTAATGAAAATCCAATTCTTGAACAAGCAAGTTGCGACCGCCATGTGAAGTAGGAATTCTTTATTTGGGACTTACCAGTTCATGGCACTACAATATAAGAAATTAGTGAGGCTCTGTCTAAATACCTATGCACTTTATGCGTTAATACCTGTCCACCTGGCCCGGGAAAAGGACGTATTAGTGCTACGTTCAGAAAATGTGTCACTATTTGGACAAGATGACTCGTTCATTTTTCTGACAGCGTGAATGAGGGCTCAGGAGTTGTACATGCAAGTGGAGAAGCAACTCACCAATAAACAACGTGAACTTTAAGTTTGGCCATCGTGGTGAGGAAGCGATGTAGCTGCAGACCAAGTATTTTTACGGCTTAATCTGAGGAAATAAGATGGCAGAGCGACCTGCTTGCAGTCACTAACACAACTCTGAGGAAGGGAATGTTTTCACCTCACGCATTACTTTAGAGAAAATAAGTATAAAGAATTAAGTATCCAAGATGGAGCGTTAATTCCTTTCCCATCAACTACAGTGATGGAATTCCAAACAATGATGTAGATCATGTCAGTAATTCAATAGCGATTGATGTACAAGGCTTATTCGGAAATTTAGATAATAGCTTAGAAAGTCGGAATTCAGCCCGGTCTAATTTTGAAAAATAACATCATACTGAATAACGTGGCAAACAAAGCATAGTTTCCTAAAATGATAGACAGGATACAGAGTTAATCGGCCTCAGGGCGGCCACTAGGCAACAATTAAGAGCTTTTCGCGTCTCCAACGGTCGAGCTTAATTAATGCTTGAGCATTGAAATTAAAAGCTTTAATTCACCAGTGCATGACGAACATTTACTCTTCTTCATATTTCTTTCTTCACATTATTTTCAATAGACACACAACGCCTTGTTACGACCTCAAGTTGCATTGCAGCCCAATAAGAAATTAGAGCTCCGATGCTGACATACAGAAAACTTGACAGCTGAAGATGAACATCATCAATTTTAACCATTCGATATTGAATTGAATCCTAAATGACGGTAAAGCAGTTCATGGCATTAATGATGATGAAAAAATACTATTTATGCCTAAAGCAGTTCATGGCATGAATAAAGATGAAGAAAAACTATTCATGCATGAAGCAGTTCATGGCATGAATAATGATGCAGAAAAAACTCGTTTTTATAACAGATTTGGCGGGGCTACGGGACCCAGGGAACGCCACTTCCCTAGAATGTGAGTGACACATTCCCGCGGGGTGAGCGTATCGCGTGCAATTAATGCGTGAATGTGTGAAATTTCCGTGTGATAGAAGCGAGCGCGTATCTCTGGTAGGAAGAAGCAATGCCACAACGTGAAATTATTTTTGCCGACCACGCGATTCCTAGAAGCAAAGAGGTAAGACGAAAAGAGGAAAACTGAGCTCTAGAGTTCGAGCAATAATTGTGGAAATTAATATCAATTACAGCAAAAATTTTCGTCTTACACGAGTATCTCATGAGTTTATATCGTAAAAAAACATTCTATTTATTGGCTAATTGATAACTTCACCAAACCTCCCGAAGTGAGATGTATTAAATATTTCCGATATCGTAACCCTTGTCAGCAAGGCATTGATAATTTTACAAATTCTCCCCTTCAATAACTCAAGCGAAGTCATATGATATGATCACTGCAGTAATACGATGCACAGTGAAACTTTTATTATCATAATTATTGTACGAACAAATTATCGTGTCGTCTGGTACAAAATTTCGAGGTCACGTTACAAATTTTTATTCTTCACATCACGCGTTCTGGACACGATGTACTTCACACCCTTCAAATGTTGAGCTGATTTAAGACACGTGAGCTGGACAGTCACGCATGAGGCCGATTTTCATGACAACAAAATTGGCGTTAAGATAATTTATTAACAAATGATATTTCTTAATTATCTAGGAATACGTTAATTGACGTCAATGTTATTCCTACCTAATACCCTGGTAACGAGAGTTACCATCTCGACAAAGGATAGAAGCGAAGATAACACTTCACCAATTCAGCATAAAAAACACAGCATTAATAAAATAATAGGAATAATAATGGTGCTCTTGAGTTCGATAACAAACTGCAATAAGTAATAAATATTCAATAAATGACAAACACAGGAAACTATCTATACTTCGAAACATATTAACAGCATATTCCACTACGGAGATGTAAACAAGAAAATAAATAAGGAAACTTAAATGGAAAATTATTCCTCAAACGGGTTGAGGCTGTCGTCATTGTCATTCTCTTCGAAGGGATTTGAGGCGGCCTTGGGTTCCTCGAAGGGATTCTTGTTGTCGGCTTCATCGTCGCCACCGAAGGGGTTATTATCGTCAGCCTCCGTCTCGAAGTCGTCCCCGAAGGGATTATTAGACGCCGACTCGAAGGGGTTCAACTCTGCGTTTGTCACAGCCGCAGGTCGCGAGTTCGCGAGCGCCGAAGATATGCTTTCTGGGTGCGTGTGGTCGGCGAAATTGGGGCGGCGCTTGGCGGGTGCAAGGGGCACGCCTCCCGAGACGGTGATCTGGTCCATTAGGGATGTGGGCGACCGGCCGAATCTCGGTGACATTTTCTTTGGTGACCCAACCTTGTCGAAGATGTTGCCGTGCGACCTGAGCCGCGCCTCGGGCTGTGGCATGGTGACGGACGATGCCACGGTGCCACGAACCCGCGCCTCGGGCTGTGGCATGGCGACGGACGATGCGACGACGCCACGAACCCGCGCCTCTGAGGCAGCGTCCAGAACACGACTCGCCTGCTCATGCCTCAGCCGCCCCTCCGAGGCTCCGCTTTGCGCTGCAGGAAGCGCTTGCCCGCGCGCTTCTTTAAGACGCAATCGAGACTCTGAAAATAAGGAAGGTTATGTTTGTTGTAGTTGAAGTGACGCTAGCGCTCTGGAAATACGGAAGGTTTATACTTGTTACCAGTTTAACTATGAGGCTAGTTATATTTTAAACTGTGACCAGATTAACGCTTTATGAGCTGTAGCATCATTGCAAGGGATACAAATAGGAAATACTATAAATAAAACACACGTTGAAAAATAGTGGCATACAACTCGTACATCGTGACTTTGCGTCACACGCGTTGCAGAGCTTGCATACAGCTGAGCTCGCACACTAACATCGAATTTTTATATATCTTCCATCGACACAAGCTCATTAGTGTCACTATAAGAATGTCAAAATTGAACTCAATTGAATTTGTAAGGCAATGAAAAGGATAATAATGTAATAAAACATTATTACATATTAGTAAGGAAAAGGACTGACAATAGAGCCAACTTCTACACGACTGCCTTTTCCACTATATTCATTTGTTTGTAATTGTAAATGATTAGGTAAGAAAATAAAATAATGACGTACGTATTGAATTCTTTAATAGGAGCGATTTCAAACGAATCACCATCGATCACAACACAGCTGAGCGATTTGAGCAGTCAATTAAAGATCAGCAGCTCCTCAACCTCATATGAGGTTGATATCCTAACACAGAGTGCATCTGCAAACTGCAATCTGCACATGCACTCTGAGGGCGGATGCGCGATTGTCGGAGGCGGCGATCCATCGCGGCCTGTGCCTGCTACGTCCGAAACATATACTAAGGATACAGAGTGGATACTACCACACAGAGATGGGTGGTATACCCACACAGAGATGGGGGGTAACCCCCCAGGGGGTGTACTACACACCCCCCAGGGGAGAGTTAGGCCCCCACATCTCACCTGAGGCGCCGCCGCTGAGATGCGATGCGTCGAGCGCCGCTGCGGCTGCCGTCGTCCTCGTGCGAGCGGCCGCTGAAAAATCAAGACACGAATGAGAACAGAACTACATGTTCCTTTCGAATTGAAACGTGTTTAGCGTGTACGAATAAAGAACTAGGCACTGGGTCACCTATTCGGAGCCCATCTTCTACTGTAGCCTGATTAAAGGGCGGGTGGCATTTATCTAAGTGACTTAGGAATAAATTTGTAGGTGATAAGTCTATAGGTAGTACTCGAGCAGGAGGCAATGCGCAACGCTGTAAATTAATAAGAATCTGGGTTTAAATAAAATCATTATTTAAAAATAATAGAAACGTCATGAACGTCAGTCCATACGAAAGAAAATCTTAGGAGTAATCCTAGGTTCGTTAGCAGGGAACTGATCCAATGACAGCTGGGCGACGAATACATTAATAAAAGCAGGTACCCTCATCAGCAGGCAAACCTGTACGAGGAGTGCTGACAGGCGCTGATTACCTGCGTCAGGAGTGCAGGGGGCGCTGACAGTAGCTGATTACCTGCGTCAGGAGTGCTGGAGATGCTGACAGGGGCTGATTACCTGCGTCAGGAGTGCCAGGGGCGCTGACAGGCGCTTGCTCGTTATCAGCAGCTGCGGCGTCAGCTGCTGCACCAACACAAGCAAGTGAAGCAGTACAGAAACACACAAAATAAACTCGCTGTGGCTAAATCATCTACGTGAAGCAAGCAAATGAAATGCAGCAAATAAAAAAAATTGAGCTAAAAAGTCTACAGTAGGGAACAGACAACGCAATGAAGCAGTGCATTAAGTGAACATGAAATAACTCGTATAAAGAAGCAATGCATTGAGTGCCACAAGATAAGTTTTTTTTTCCAATAAGAACACAACTAATTACGACAGTGGATGAGCAAATGAATAATTTTTTATTAATTAGCAATGAAGAATTTGCAGTACAAAAAAAAAGTTACTGAAAATAAAATTGAATGTATAAGCCAAATAAAATTTAATGTATAAGCCAACTAAAAAAATACGACATACCGAGTTACCTGAAATCTGACATCACGCAAAACATGGCCCAACAACAAGAAATGTAGTGTAAAAATGTCCTCGGTTTCGGGAGCAAGAAACAATCAAAGCAAATAGATGACCAAAGAGGAAAGCTACCATTACACAAGACCCACAAATACGCTCTTGAATGGGCAGGAAAGTGGTTCTAAATCTAAACCTGGCTAGACAACAATAAAAATAGGGGGAATTTGTGTGTTTAGGTATCGTTTGGTTACAATTTATTATTACTAGATCCCAGAATCTGAATAACCTCTTTCACAAGTAGAGTTCTTTTCACCGTCTCAGCTGAAGCAACAGTAGCTGCAGTCTCAATATTGATCATCGCTGACGGAAGATGCTTAGCAACGTCCGAAACTTATATCGTTCAGAAGACTTGCACAACAATAAATGAAGAGCGACCGTTAAAGTTATTGCTGACTCGTCAATTAAAGGAATTTCTGCATGAGTAAGAGCTGCTCAGGTTACTTGATGTACTGTTATGAACAAATTTCCCGTACATCTCAACAAAATATTAGTACTGAACATGACTTGAGTTTGAACAAAAATTTAGTTCTACAAGGTGCATAATAGAATAAAAAGGAACCAATAATATCTAAAGCATTAAATGAAGACCTATAACGCAGGTGGCCCAACACAAACGTTCATGGTCTGAAGATTTTTTTTCACGACATTCAAGATTTGGCATAGAACAAAGCCAGTAGATCACGGTGCTTCGAACAGACTTCAGGATCATTTTACTGCATTAGCAAGAATTTAGGAAAAATGCCTTAGGAACCAAATAAATTCAAGTGCACGAAAATACGGTTGAATAGCAAACAAACGTTAATACAAAAAATAGGAAGGAAGACCTCAAAATTTGCTATGAGTAGATGTGATATAAGTGCTGGTGTAGAACCCAAGCTGTGCGAGGAGGTGTAGAGTGAGGCGGAGGTGTGGACATCTAACTTTATTCATGTTGATGGCACCTCTAGCAGTGTTGGTGTGTGAGGCTGAGGTGTGTATGGCGAGGTTGGCGGTGTAGTCAGTGAAGAGGCCGCGCGCCAGGTAGTCGGCCAGCTCGCTGAACACGTCGTCGCTGTCGCCCCCAGACATGCTCTCTCCGAAGCTTTGGATCGTCGCGCGGTGTGACGCCTAATGCAATAACAACTGTCACATTACGTAAACAATAACATGGTATATAATCTACTCAATTTGTTACATTTTACATTATATTTATAATACTGCCTTCTATGCCACTCATAGGGTTAACGAGCGCACCCAACACTGGTACCGGTACGTGACAGAAATAGGTAGGGCGTTATGTATCACTTTAGATAGGTAATTCTTTGGCCTCTCGTAATTTAGGTCATTCTTCACGAGGAGTTTCGTTTCAAGAGGTTTATTATTTCATTTCCACATATCAAAGCAGGAATATTCAACTATTATCAATATATAAAGCATATACCTGTTGTCTGAGGGAGTCCCGGATGTCGTTGTGGCGAGGAAGGCACATGGGGCATTCCTCCTCGCTGCTGCTGCAGTAGGACGAGAAGCAGCTGCACGCACAATACACCACTCAGATATCACATATTAAATGCCTTAACTAAATTATGAGCTTTTGCTATGGCATCGTGAGCACAGTTTTATTACAGCGTCGTACACAAGAATTGATTGCACACATTAAACCAATATTAGAATTGATAACTCACTACATTTAAATTAATAAACGCCCAATAAATTCCAATCGGCAGAAGACCAACAATGGAGGATTTAGAAGGACTTACTGCTGGTGGAAGGACTTACTGCTGGTGGAAGGACTTACTGCTGGTGGAAGGAATGTTTGCAGAAGAAGTGTACAGTTGGGAACTCCAGCTCCTTGTGGCAGGCGTCGCAGTTGCTCTCCGTGAACACCAAGCCACTATAAAAAACGCACAGTTTCATTATAAATAATAAAGGATAATTCGTCATCGATTAAATTAAGGATATTTCGTCATCAATTAAAGCCAAAAATTGGTCACAGTAAAGTTTAACGAACGTATAACTATAACTGCATCCAAACGAATTGCATATACTTTAATAGGACTTTACAATGAAATTTTGCCTTCCAGTCAATACAGAGTGCCAGAAAGTAAGCTTCATGAAAGATGCACCCAACTTCACTAATAATCAATATTAGAGAGCTGAAATAAAAATATTGAATTATCTAAGTAAAGAATAAATTATATAGTAATGATTTCATTCTCAACACTGGTATTCCGGAAAATCAAAGTCAATGAAGTAGCAATGATGAAGATGCCAGTTAGAACCTGAGTATGACATTGAGTGATACTTGGTAGTCTGGAGTTTATTGGACAGTCAAATCAACAATCTGCTCCATGAGCTGTTCTGTACGGCAACACCCACCATTCAAACAACATCCCAGCCCAGCCCCTGTTCCAAACAATCGTCCTCTCAAACTACTATTCCGAACTACCCTGTCCAAACCCCTGGGCAAGGTACAGTTGTATAGAAGTACTGCTAAAGCACCTGTTTTGTATAGCGATTATCTGGTCGCGCACAGCGTCGGCTTCAGCGACGATGTCAGTGAGCTGGGAGGTGTGGGCGAGTGCCGCCTCCTCCTCGCGGTCCGCTAGCGCCGTGAGGTACGCAAGCCAGGACGCGCTGCAGGACGCACGTGTCACACTCACCAACTCTGGCCAGGACACGCTGCAGGACGCACGTGTCCCACTCACCAACTCTGGCCAGGACGCGCTGCAGGACGCGCGTGTCAGGGGGCCTGGGGAGCTGAGGGGCGGTGAGCAGACGCAGCGCCGTGAGCCACAAGCCGGGGTCCTTGCCGCCCTGCGCCTCACACACCGACAGCAGCGCCTGCTCGTCCCCAGCGCCCATGTGGTGCTGCAGGATCTCGTCGAACCTGCACGAGCAACGTCCGTTTAGTGGTCGAAGTCATGAACAGCAGATTGTACAGGCGAATTAATTCATATAAATAGAATATGTGAAATAAATATAAGTGGCTCTGCTCAAACCTAACCACAGAATACAGAGCAATTGATCTCAGGGCTACATGATAATGTATTTAGGCTTTTTGTTCAGGTTAGCGATCAGTTATAAAGAAAAAACATCATGACAACCCATTAATATGCAGCAAACTTCTTAGCAATTTACTCAAGCTTCGACTTCATGGGTACGTGCGGCTGCAAAATTGAGTCTAACAACAGATTACCGTACATGGGCACATTATTTCAAATCGAATCATTTAGAGCAAGGATTCTGTTGAAAGGATAAAAATCTTGCTGAACATATCAAGACTAGTAACAGAAGTAAACTAAAAAAAACTTTAACTAGGATTAGGCATTTTTTGATCTTACATGCGGTGGTGCTCCCATATGAGGAGCTTGCCGTGAGGGTAGTTGTGCCTGTCGCAAAGGAGGCAAGCGAGGGCGGGGTCCAGAGGGTAGAGGCTGTCCTCGCTCACCAAAGAGCGCACCTTCTGTTCCCACGCCTCACGCACCACGTCTGCAAGTATGACCTATGATTGATCATAGAGAACTGCCAGCGCAATCGCAAAGACTTATGCTTGGTCATAGGGAACTGCTAACGCAATTTCAATTACCTATACTCCCTTCTACAAAGAACTTGCTTGTAAGCTCACACCTATATCATGTCATACTTAATTCATAAATAGAGATTAATATATAAATATAAAACAAATAAGTCACCCTCAGAAGCAGCACTGAGCTGGTGCAGGTACTCGGCAAGGAGCATCTCGTGCAGACGCGTGGCGGGGCGCGGATGGCCGAGCTGCAGAAGGCGCTTCGAGACGCCCTCGATGTAGCGGATGGCGAGGAGGCTGTCGCCGCACACAACGCTCTCGAACTTCTCGGGAGGGCAGCTTTGAGGCGAGCGGCCCTCCAGGTACCCGTCAAGACAGGCCTGATTAAAATGCATGACAGTATCAGTATCATGCCCTCATGACAGTATCAGGAACTCGTCCAGACACGTCTGATGGCATGAGAGTATCAGGTACTCGTCCAGACACGTCTGATGACATGACAGTATCAGATAACCGTCCAGATATGCCAGCTCTATGAGCAGCTCAAGTGTGACATCATGATCCACATGATCACATCGCACACCAGCGGCGTGCAGTCCGTACCTAGCTCTATAAGCAGCTCAAGTGTGTTGTGTTGTTGTTGTAATTACCCGACCCGCCAAAACCATTTTATTGCATTACACAACACCCTGGACAAGTTAGGTACTTATTTATCAACCAGAGTTGAATGAATGGCTGACTTGACCATGAGCTGAGCTTCACGGAAGAACTTGTCCTCAGTGGGACACGAACCCGGGCGCTGGGTGCGAGAGACTGAGTCTCTCACCACTGCACCATCATAGCTCAGCTGAATTGTGTCATTATGACCCACCTCGCCCACCAGCGGCGTGTTGTCAGGCGTGTAGTCCGTGGCCAGCTCTATGAGCAGTTCAAGAGTCTCGTCAGGAGCGCCTCTCGTGAGCGCGCTACCGTGGGCCACCATCTGCTCGCTGGCGGCGCTCAGGTCTAGCGTGCGGATGTACCTGCCCGGTGAAGTGGTCGAGTTAAGTACAACAAGTTAAGTGAAATTAAGTCAAGTAAAGCCTGGCTGGTTAAGTGGTCAAGTTAAGTAAGGTTAAGCCATGCCTGAATCTTCATGCCATTTGATGCGCAGTGAACTCAGACATTAACTCAGAGCTGAAGAAACTATATTGAAGTATCTCATTTAAATGAGCTGAGGGTGAACTGAAATATATTCACAGTAAAAGGAATTACAGAGGATCGTAATGTGATAAAGCTCAATGACTTTCAAATTATAGAAAATTTAGCTAAATTATAGGATAATGTTCGCACTCAATGGCTTTGGTGAACTGCTTGGTGTGGTTGCAGAGAATGTCGAGGTGCAGACTGTGCAGACCGTGCAGAGCTGAGAGCTGCAGAGCCTCTTCATAGAAGCCGCCCTCTCTGCACACCTCCACCAGCACGCTCACGTCCTCGTCGCTGCAACGAAAATGGCAGCACTCCTTTTTTAATACTTAAAATAAGTTCAAGTGTAATCCACTGATAACTTTACTGAAAAGGTGGAAGTTCACCTGATAAATTCGGCAGCAACTTTCCATTTTAACACTTAAAAAGTTAAAATAAGTTCAGAGATAATAAATTAATCACGACAGAGACTGTTTGATGCAAGAGTAATTCTGAATTATAATTTTTTTCGTCCACGCCTGAAAGATTGATCCCAATGTTAGTTTGGAAGAAAGTGCGTCGATAAGAAATAATGACACGCTAGCATGGCGGTTTTGAGAAATTTCCCACAACCAACAGACTGAGAGAATTTATGGATCTGGATGAGAGTTGTTTCTATTCGAGGATAGATCTATTAAACACGGAATCGAGTTATCCACTATTTGACTCAAATTAGACGGAGGTTGAAGGAGAAGCAGTAGCATATGAGTTCATGCACTGCTTCTATCACGAGGTCATGAAGAATAACCGCAATTCTATAGTGAATATAAGAGCCATTGAGCCAAGTCAATAGCAGCCAAAGACACGCAGAGATGCAGTGCCGCACTTACGAAGGAACGTTCAGATTAACGCGTCGTGAATAAAAGGCACTGAGGGCAAGTAAGAGGCAAGGTTCCAGAGTACAGAGTTAAGATTCGGGACTCACTTGAGACCAGCGGGCGCCAGGTGTTTGGCGGCCACGGGGGAGCGGTTGTGGTGGTCGCTACCGTCCCTCAGCTGTCTCTCCTTCTCCTGCTGAGCGGCTTTGACTTGCTTGCTGTGTTTCTGCACAAAGTTAATTCATGGTTAATATATGCCGCGTTATTTATGTAAACGTTACGTGTGTATATGTTGATGCACTCGCCCTAACGCACTTCATGACCGAGTGACGCTGTCAAAGTATTGAATGTATACGATTAGTTGATATTCATACATGAATGTTTAGTATGATCCACGTTGACTGAGCAGTAATGACACACATGTTAGCTGAATATTCAAGTTCAATGGACGTTTGCAACAATAGCCTAACATGTCCACCAAATACAAAAAAAAGATCAATACATGGTCAATGTGTCACGAGACAAATACAAACTTGAATGGGAGAAGAGATGAAAACTTAAAGTAACATAAAGATTAATTCATTTCATTCATATTACGGTCATGATAATATAAAAAAAGCAATAATACATTCATTTCCATTTCATTGAACCGTATGAGAACTCAAAGCATAATAATTATTTCAGATTTTTTTTTATTGAGATTGTAACGTGAGAAAGGGCAAAGCACCTCAATGAAGGAGCGTATGCGGTCGTCGTGCTTGTGTCGCGTGTAGCAGTTCAGTAGCAGCGACGAGTGGTCAGGACTGTGCAAGTTGCGCGCGTGCAGCGCCTCCAGATACTCCGCCAGTAACGACATGTGCTCGCTGCTCAGGAACTGATCAAAAATATCAGATTTATTAGTGGACTAATTGAAATAAATAAATGGCTTAATTGAGCTAAAAATCAAACAATAGATTTATTACCTGCCATATTATACATCAGGACCTATTTGGGAAGAATATTAGCCTCAATTAGCTTTATATTATCAGTATAAAAACTGCAACGAAAATGACTGGCTCCAAATGAGTGATTAAATAGCGGCATTTATTAGAGCTGCTCAAGAATACGAGTAAAACAATTGACTGGAGAGCAGCAGTGGAAAAACTTACCAGACCGAGGAATAGCTGAACTGGCAAGAAAACGCGTGTATTGAAGTGTAAATGGGAGTCTTTGATTTTAACTTGTGTTCAGACTGGACTCGCATTACGTTCCTTACGAGCGTATATGTTAAAGCATGAAACATTCAAATTTAGAATTTAATATCCGATTAAACATAAATTGCAAAGCTGTCGTTTCATACTTCATGTCTTGTCGCACAATTACTGACAATGGTTCCATGACTTCCATCTAAGTGTCCGGAATTCCATTTCAGATTCTGTGGGCTCCTCTTACCTTCTTGATGACGTAGGAAGGCTCGAGGTGAGGAATGGTTTTGATGTACTGCTTCACTGCCATGCTCAGCTCCCCCTTACCTTCTTGATGACGTAGGAAGGCTCGAGATGAGGAATGGTTTTGATGTACTGCTTCACTGCCATGCTCAGCTCCCCCTTAGAGTACAGCCAGTCGCCGTACTGCTTCAGGATCTCAGCCACGCCCTCTCCGCTCACCTTCTGGCCGCGCGCCAGGCTGCGCAGTGATTATGAACCTTTTTTAAATGGAAAACACTTCCTCAGAACAAAGGGAAAGGGCTTTCCCTTTGTTCTGCGCTTTTTTACCTAGCCAAAGCTATTTCAATACCACGTAACCCTAATAGATTTATTCTCAGTTGAATTGTCCTAATGACAAAGTAACATGAAAACCATTACAGAAGCGATTCTATACAAACAAAGTGGCTTTGAATCCATCTTCATATGCTCTTACCTGACAGCAATATCATATTGATTCTTCTTGAAAAGGATCTCCATCTTAGCGTGCAGGTGCTTCTCTTGAAACTGTATGAGGGAGGGTGACGCCCCTCCAGCTGCCGAGCACACCCCATACAGGCCGCCCCACTCCGACACTAGCCCCACTAGTGGACCAGGTAGCGGGTGCGTTAGAGCGATCACTTGGTTGCTCAGGTCGTACACGTTGCAAAGCGTTCGCTTGTTGCTGCTCAATTATATACACAAGGTCAAATAAAGAGGTAGAGGTAGAATTAAACAATGAGCACATATGATGAAGTAAAGCAAGATGAACGAGCCATTTGTTACCACCGCTACAACGTGGTGGAAGGAGCACTAGCGGCTAAGAAAAAAGTAAATGTAAATTCTTGAATTTAGTTTTAATGAAGAATAATTCTGGAACAGTAGATCCACAAGAATTCGACATGCGGCGTAAAGCTTACTACAATTAACCTCCAGCCAAACTAACAATGTCATCATATGAGGAATATAATTTAAAACTATATGCAGTTTTATACTTTTTAATGTAAGTTTTGCATTTGAAAATTAAATAATAATAAATGAAACGAGAAATCGTCAAATTACTCATAAAAATTCAAATAACAGATGGTCGAAAAAACATTTCACCATCAATTTAAATGCAGAGCAATACCGTTTATTTATTTATATACAATAATTCATGTAGTTATTGAAAAATAAGATCAACGGCTGGCTCGGCAGTGGCAAGAAATTTATCCACAAAGCAAATGTTTCTGTGCGCGGTGTGCACAACTCAGAATACCTACTAGCTGCCCACATCTGGGGCCATACTTTTAAAACTCGCTAAGTGAACGTAAGTTTCACTAAGTAAGTAAGAACGCTCTATTTTCTTGTCTACGATTGGTGGATTTGGCTTGAAACGCCGTCAATGATTGGCTGATGAACTTAAGATTTCTTAACGTTTTTTGAAAGTATAGGCCCTGGCATTTAGCTTCCAAGTGGTTTATAGAAATTCTACCAATATATTAGTTAAGCATTGCGGAGCCTTACTTGGAGGGAGCGTTTCTATCCGCTTGAGCCTGGACGACGATGGCGTAACCGCGATGGCAGAAGAGCAGCTCCTTGAGGCCTGGGAAGGCGTAGAAGCCTGCACGCCCCTCGCTGCTGTAGCTGTACAGCGCCTGTAGCACCGAGTCAAGCTTTATTCAAACGTAAAAAAAAGAAGCTAAAAACTACTGCATTAAACAATAAAGAATATTTTGGAGGCAAATAAGCTACAGCTAAGTCTAATAAAGAGCAAAAGTATGAGCAGGAATGGCGGTAATTAACTCGGAGGTTATGGAGTAACCAACCTCACCAAAAAAACCCTCAGGGGTTTTCATAATGATTTCATAATATGAGTTTGCTGTTCCGTGACCTGTAGCAGATCTGCCAGCCCAGAGTCCTTTTTTATATCACTTAAATAGCGATCGTATAAAAAATCAGGTAATCTAATATTCATGTTATCTTAATATAACAATCATGAACGTCATTAGATCAAATAGGCATAGCTGGTCTAATATCATCTCTTAGAAGCGAATCTCAAAACGAAAATTTGATTTATTAACCAATTCCGATAAAAGAACCACAATTAACCATTAATTATCATGATATTAAAATTAATACACTCACAAATATTGTGCGTAGAAAATTGATGTATCTTAACCAACATGGCAAGGCGTTTTGTTTAAAATTTAATGAGCCATTTGTGGCTGCTGATATTTCTTAATTATTTATTATCATTTATATAGGCAGCAATCAAGTCATCCTTCTATTATTACTTATACAGGAGCAACTCACGTCATCCCTGGCCATGACAAAGATGTGGTGCTCGTTGCGACCAACAGCGAGATCGGAGCATCCGCTGCGGCAGCCCACCTTGTCAAGCTCGCTCTGCACACCAAATTACATACGAAATTCACACCCAATACTCGCAGATCGATTTCCATTATTAGAAAAAGAATTACGGGAGTCAGTATTAATTACGAAGCTTACGGTGGTCATTCGTACAAAAAAACGTCCATTCACACTACAGTTTTAGAGGAAATTGAATGCATCTAATAGCACGCGTTAGGGTGACTCGGAGACGGAGGACGACGAAGGCGGCGCATCAGCATAACCGGGGACTAGGAAGTCCTGAACTCATCATAAGGTCAGATATGTCAGTACGAAGAGGAAATTTTGTCTGCCGGCCAGCTTAAAGAACTGTCCTCCTTGCAGGAATAGCATGTGCAAAACTTAGTGTAATGCAGAATGAACTAATCAGGAGGTTGATGTTCATTGAATGATCTTATTGACTTCTATCTCGCTTTGCTTTCAATTTAAGCTACAACTTCAGCACTCCAGTCAAAGCACGAACTCCAACAAAACTACAACTTCAGCACTCCAGTCAAAGCACGAACTCCAACAAAACTACAACTTCAGCACTCCAGTCAAAGCAAGAACTCCAACAAAACTACAACCTGTAGCTACAACTTCACCATACATTTGCAATACCTGCTTTGCCTCCAACAATACAAATCTAAATAAGGCAACAGCTCGGTAGCCCACCTCAAGGAAAGAAAAATGTCCTAAATAAATAACTTAATATTACCGTGACAAATTCACTTAATATTTTCTTCAGCTACAGACTAGACAAGAAGGTAGTGAGCATGACTGACGGTGGTCTCTTTGTCACGCTGCGTGCACTGCATGCTGTAGACGTTGGTCGTGGTAGTGATGAGAAGGCTGGTTGTCTGCACGTCAACTGAAGGAGTGCTGCTAGTCTTGCCGGTCCTGGCGTTGGTGTGGGCGGTATAGGTGTGCATGGTCAGGTGGAAGTGCAGGTTAGTTACGGTCGAGCTGAACGTTACTATCACGCGCGATGTGGAGCCTCTTTCACGGTCCCGGCCCAGATCTCCTACGCATACAAAACATGGCTGCAATCAAATGAACCGACACATATTGGCCATAAATACTTGTTCATAATAATAATTTATTAAATCACAATGGTCGGCTGAATATGAGTTCAAGAGACACACAATGCAAGCTATCTCTTGCGAGGACATGCTCGGCTTCATAGACGAGGATAAAATCTCAGAAAGAGACAAATAAGTAGAGAAAATCATCACAAAATAAAGCAAGCAAGCAAGCAATATTCTCTAACTCATCACAATGAAGACAAGCAATCACCATCCAATAGTGTGCTATTGAAACGTTTCCATCTAATTAGAAAGTGTTCGCAATTGAACATAATTTCCTGCTTATACTTCCTATAAAATAGTCAATGAAGAAATATTTAATGACACTTTCTTTATGCTGCAAATGAGCTCGCGCAGAGCAATGTTTCGTCACGACGTGGTCTCGACATGAAGCTATTCAGAAGAGAAAAGCACTCTGCAGTCTCGACATGAAGCTAATCAGAAGATAGAGTAGGTACTCTAGTCTCGACATGAAGCTACTCAAAAGATAAGAGCACTCTGCAGTCTCGACACGAAGCACAGTAAAGCACCTCTATACAGCATGATGGCCCCAAACGGGGCACCACAATAGAGCATGATGGTCCCACTAAAGCACCTCTATACAACATGATGGCCCCACAAGAGCACCTCTATACAGCATGATGGCCCCACAAGTGAAGCCTAGGGCGAGCATGTTGAGGTTGGGGTGCACGGCGACTGCGGTGACGGTGGACGGCGGTGGCAGAGCAGCACCAGGGCGCGCCGGGGGACGTGGGTCAGGCCGCAGCAGGCGCAGCAGCAGCGGCTGGTCTGCCTGCAGTCTGTCTGGTGCCCACACCTTCAGCTCTGAGCAGCCGTTCGCGGGGTGCTGAAATGATTTCCAATTTGTTGATCATATCAAATTATAACATAATAATCTTAGCCCTCTGGGTTAAGATTCAAGCTAATCATCATATTTAACTTCACAATTTCATTAGCCTAGGAAAAGAGTTAATGCCAAAAGAGAGTAGATTGAGGTAACTAGTGAGAAATGGTAAATTCAAGAGGGCAGAATAAAGGGAGCCAGTAAATAGAGCGGGTTTAAAAGAGTCAGTTGAAAAATGTGGTCACAAAGGAAAGATTCAAGAGAGCCAGCTTCTGAGAGCCTGGTAAAAGAAGTATATATATAAGTACTATCTGTTAAGAAGCAGTTAATATGAAGAGTTTTTCACATGATGGTGGTATTTGTTAAAAACATACCATCACGCAAGCAACTCAAGAAATTTTTTTTATACATTTTTAAACCTTCAGCAGGCAAGCACAGAAATCAGCAAAAAGTTGAATTTCTGAAGCCCTTACAAAAAAGTATGGACAATTTGAAGATAAATTTACTGCTATTGAATTTTCAAAATTTGCCAATTGATTGGATTAAATTGCAGGCAAAAAAATTCATGCAAAGTAGTAAATTCCCTGAAATTTATATATTAATTCATTTTGAGGTGATAATGAAGCTTGGAATTGATATTTTTTGAAGTTACTCATTCAAACAACTCACAGCCATTGTGACTAGAAGAGAAGCAGCATCAGCGGCCCACATCCAGGCCACCTTAGCGTCGTGTGCTGGGAAGGAAGGCACAGGAGAGTCGAGCGTACGACTCAAAGTGTGAACAAACCCCTTTGAGTCTCCGACGTAAATGAGGTCCCGTCCACTGCATGCTGCTGTCAATGACGACCCACTCTGACAAACATAATTAGTGATTAAAAATATATATGCAAAAGGTAAATGAAAATTCTAGTAGTGATTTCTTGATAATTTGTTGGCTGATTACGCATATTTTTGTGAAAAAATTATTTGATTACAAAAAAAAAGAATCATGGTTTTGTTGTGAGGCTTAGGTTTTGTCTCAAAGCAAGGTGGGATTCCACATTGCCTACACATCTAAATTCCTGGCAAAATTAAAATTTATAGGTGACAGCTAAAAGAATGTTATACCTAGCTGAGTAATATTAATAATCCTTTTGACCAAAAATAAAAATAGTCTTTGTTTACATGGACATGTAATTAGAGATGGATCATTTTTGTTTCAGCTTTATCACCACATACCTTCAGCAGTGAACCCAGTTGGTTATCATCAGCACCCTCAACAACATTGAAGAACTCAAATTTTCTCCACTGTAACAAAGAGATCAATATCATAATTAACAATCACACAACTGATCTTAACAAATTCTAAATTTTCGAGTATGGTACTTGACTTGAATTTTCTCTTATTTCTAGTAATTGAAAAAAAAAATTTAACTTAAAAAACATTAGTACTTCATTTGCATTTTAGAATAAGTACCTATTGACAATAAAGACACCATTTCAGTAGAGAATGTCATGCAGCAGGAAATTAATATACATTACTTGTTTTAGACAGTATTCTGTATTAACTGAAATTATACAACATATTATTGTAAAACCTTCATGGGTCCTTGAGGCTTGAAGCCTATTTTTCACTTGAATATTTTTTAAAAACATTAAATAAGCTAACCCTTGTATGATACCCCTGTCTGATCCTTCAGTCTGTCTAAACTGCATAAAAAAAAATCCATGTACCTATGTAATTGAGGAGAGCGGTGGCAAAAATAGGAGTGTGCTCACTCCAATAGGAGCAGGCACTCCAATATGAGGGGGCCAGCAGCATGCTTGTCTCACTCCTATTTTAGCAGGACGAGTACACTGAAGCTGCTGCAGGCCCGCTCATATTGGAGCGTGTGGCCATCCCACTCCCCCCTGCTCCTCAAGTGAGTAGTGTTGGATTTCTATGGCCGTCCTGGTGAATCTAAATGACCAACCATTTCCTAGAATTCCACCATGGTTCCGTGTGAGCACTGCTGCTCCTAAAAATCTCAAAATTTGCTCCTATCATCAGTTCATCATCAGAAAATTTAGTTCACTTTTTTCAAAATTAGTATAAATTGGTATAACCTTGTTACCTTGGAAACCAGTGATTGGTCTTAACATTGTTTCAAAACTGCTATAAGCCAGTACAAACTTGAACAGCAGTGTTTATGTTCATTGCAATGTGGTGCTGGACTTCTGGTGGCCCACAATGTGATGCTGGTGACCAGGTTGGGAAACGTCCTACTTTTTCCTGAAAAATCTCGGCTCTAACATCTTACAATTTCAGTAGGTATGAAATCTCGTGGCTCTACTGTCATGTATTTTTGATTGATTGAAAAAAAATCGTGGTTCGCACTTTGCAAACATGTCATTTCATAAAATGTTCAACTTCCACAATCTGCATTATTATACTGTTCCCGTCAAAATATCATGCAGAAGGTAATCATCTTAATGATAAGTGATAACAAGTCAACCTAAACATTTTGTTGAAGATCGCGCATAGTTGAGGTCACCTCATGGCGGTCAGACTGCATTAACACTTGCATGGACTTTGTAAATACGTTCAAGGCTTGTAAATGGCTCTTCATGGCCAAGATATGGAATTCACGGCTCAAAAAAATGGAATCAGGGCTCAAAGAAATAGAATCATGGCTGGCAAATCCATGAAAACATGGCCTGAAAAATTCAGTTCCAGCTCCCTAAGTAGATATATTCCAGACCATGCCTGCTGGTGACCCACTTGCCCCACATTGTTTCAAAACTAGTATAAACCAATATAAACTTTCAAAGTGATGTTTATGTTGTTTCACAACTAGTATAAACTGGTACAAACTAATGAGCAGTGTTTATGTTCATAACAATGTGGAGCTAGTGGCCAGTGACATCATTGGTGACCTATGACATCATATCATTGCTGATGTTATAATGTTATTGATATCATTGGTATTATGATCAACAGACTCAGTGCAGGTGCAAGGTTGCAAGCAACTAGCAAGAGACATTTGGTAAATTGGTCATACTGTAACTGTGGTACATTTGTTTCTAGCATGCCTGGTAGGCTGATGTACATCCCCAAAAAAAAGTGGCATGTAGGCCAATACACAAGACTTTCCAGGCATGGGCAAACAAATGAAACAATTAAAAGATATATCTGATTTTAGAGTGAAATGAGGCAAATTGCAATTTAAATATAAAGTTTATTTAAGATAAAGATCAGTGTTACAGTGATATTTAGAATATTGGATTATTTAACACGTTAACTGCCAGCATGCAATATTGGAATTTACCCCTAGCGCCAAGACTTCTAGGCGCCAAAATATCTCAGTAGGTCAGGAACAGCTGCAAGGGAAGGTGTGTATGTGTTAAAGAAAAACTTTTAAATATTCTTATGAAAAATGTCCTAGGTACTTAATAGACTAGCTATTGGGCATTTTGTACATTTCATACCTCATAGAAAATTTAATAGGAAAGAATTTATATTGCACAATTCAGCACAACTAAGCTGTGCTGAAATTGTTGAGCTGAGCACAACAATTCAACTTATTCAAGAAAACTGAGCAGAATCTACCCTTGATCTTGTCCTATAGAAATAGTAAGAAAGCTCTAATAGCAGCTTGTCTTGTGAAATAGATAATTTCCAGTCCAGTAGAGTGTAGACACTGTGACAGTACCTAGTCAGTCCTAGTGACAAACTGATACTACCTGTACGGTGTACCTGAAAAAAATTAAGAAGCTTGCATTAATTCCCTAGCAGTAGTACTTTACTCGCCTGAAGGACTGGTGAACTCCCCATCATAACATTAGCTGCAAAATGAAGTATTTAATTACTGAAATATGAATAGTTTAGTCTGGCTATCATTAACATCACTATCATGACTATGTTGCCACCAGCTGTTCGCCGTACCGGCCAACCACGTCCGCAGACCGCAAGATTCTCCCACCTCTCCACACTCAAGCTAAAAGAATTAGAACTTTTCTTCTTCTAATTATTCAGTTTTATTTATGGTTTGGAAGTAAATCTAGCATAAAATTAAATCATATTATTTTATATTTTCTGTTGCTAAAGGCGCTTTAGCGGCGCCATATATAATTTTTGCATATAACAAATTATGTTGGAGTGAGTGGGCCAAAGTGGAAATCAAATCCGCGATTTTATTACATGTAGTCTTCACTAAACGACATAATTTCCGTAAATTAAAAAAAAAGAACAATAAAATTAATTTGAAAAATACTGAAATTTTTATGTGTGGGGGGAGTTCATTCTCCGCACAACCTCTTGAGTTGTGATACATTACTATTAGCAAAGTATGAAATCAAACAAATTATTTATGCATGCGAATTTAGGAATAAGTTGCTAGCAATGTAACATATAATCATTAATCAAGTAGTTCAAACTATGCAATAAAACTTTTTTGATGTTTGAAAATATTTTAATTCTAAACGCTGCATTACATATAATCCACTCGCTCCTGCCGTGAGAGGAACCATGTCAGAATTTGTTTTATTTGTTGGTTTTCAAGCAAAGTTATACAGTTAGCAAGTCATTTTTAAGTGCATGGTACTTAGATAATGCAAATATAAGACTTTGAATGAATAGTTCACACTCGTGTTGATTTCCGAGTGAAGGCTTTTGATTTCGGGGATAAATGACTTGTCAACTTAATAAAATGTAGGCTTTAGTGATGGAGATAGAACCATGAGTGGCTAGTCAACGGGTCGCAGTATTTCACAGCTAGCTGCGGGTCTCGAATCCGCTAGTTGCTGCACCTAATTTTACTGATGTTCACCAATCAACCACACCGAGACCGAGGTTGACATCAAAAGGCTTGTCTTCACCTCATCAGCTACAACTACCACCATTAACCAACAAGCACATTGTGCCAGCAAATTTCATTTTCTTAACGGAATTTATTTAGAAGAACAATGCCTGAGCTCAAATTGACACTCAGTTGATTTTTACACATCGTCTGATGCCGGTACGCGTTCTGCTGCTCCACATAGATCGTTGCAGTGGCTCTCTTACGTCCCGTTCAAAGGCATTCGTGTTGGTCGACTTCCCAGACAAGAAACAGCTCGATTCATTTCGTCGATTTAGCGAAGTTTTTAACGAATACACTTACGACGGTTGTACGCTTTGTTATAAATATATTAATGTAAAACGGTCTCTTCAAACAAAAATGTATCTACGTCGAATAACTCTGTCGCTCATAAGACGAGTTGAAATGTAATCGATAGATATTGGGTGCCATTTTTCTTTACACAACCTTTCCAAATAGTCATGCAACCATTTAATTTATCGTCATGAACATCGGTCGTGAAATTGAAAAAGTAGTGTCATAATTAATCAACTACATCAATATTTTTACAATAGATGACCTGTTTTATTGTGCAATTTGATTCCTATGTTATTTAAATCGCAATGCTATATATCCAGTGCTAATTATATTGTTTCCCACAACTATCGTCGTTGTACATGTGAGGGTACGATTTGTACACTGGGCATGAGCGAAAAATTTTCCTTGATCAATTATTGTCCTCTTCTACAACTTTTAATAACTAGGGAGTTCGGTCACTTTTGTCAGATCAGACGACCTTAGATCAGATTTGGTGACCTCAGGTCAGATCAGGTGACCTCAGGTCAGATCAGGTGACCTCAGGTCGGATCATGTGACCTCAGGTCAGATCATGTGAACTCAGGTCAGATCAGGTGATCTCATGTCAGATCATGTGGCCTCAGGTCAGATCAGGCGATTTCAGATCAGATTTGGTAACCTCAGGTCAGATAAGGTGACCTCATGTCAGATTATGTGACCTCAGGTCAGATAAGGTGACCTCAGGTCAGATTATGTGACCTCAGGTCAGATCATGTGACCTCAGGTCAGATTATGTGACCTCAGGTCAGATTAGGTGACCTCAGGTCAGATCAGGTGACCTCAGGTCAGATAATGTGACATCAGGTCAGATCAGGTGATCTCATGTCAGATCATGTGACCTCAGGTCAGATCAGGCGATTTCAAATCAGATTTGGTGACCTCAGGTCAGATCAGGTGACCTCAGGTCAGATCAGGTGACCTCAGGTCGGATCATGTGACCTCAGGTCAGATCATGTGAACTCAGGTCAGATCAGGTGATCTCATGTCAGATCATGTGGCCTCAGGTCAGATCAGGCGATTTCAGATCAGATTTGGTAACCTCAGGTCAGATAAGGTGACCTCATGTCAGATTATGTGACCTCAGGTCAGATAAGGTGACCTCAGGTCAGATTATGTGACCTCAGGTCAGATCATGTGACCTCAGGTCAGATTATGTGACCTCAGGTCAGATTAGGTGACCTCAGGTCAGATCAGGTGACCTCATGTCAGATTAGGTGACCTCAGGTCAGATTAGGTGACCTCATGTCAGATCAGGTGATCTCAGGTCAGATTAGGTGACCTCAGGTCAGATCAGGTGACCTCAGGTCAGATTCATTAGATGTAACTACGCCGAGACAAACAATGCGTCGGCGGCCCGCAGGCCTGGAAATGACTGGAAATGTAAGGCATATTATCGATTCATAATTTATGGGTACAATCCGCTCAAAATAATAATGACGGTTTTAGCGTTCACTAAGCCTTAGGCTTGTCGCCGATTCTTAACATGGCAGTACATTGACATCCTCAAAATCTCATACACACATCCTTTGAAACGAAAATTCATGTCTCCTAGTCATTAAGCAGATTAATTGTTAGATTATGCAGCTTTCAATAATTGAATATGCTAAACAATCCATAGTGCGTGCATAACGCATTTGCTTTTCCAATGCTGTTGAAAATAAGGTCGCCCATGGCTGCGTTAAATAGAATAAACTGAACATAAATGTCTTTTGAGAGTCCCGAAGAAATTTATGCGCGTCCATTTGACAAAGCATAGACATTGCGTGGTGCTGACTCTGGCATTTAAAAATCTTGGAGACATTTTTTTTAATAAGTTGAAAGGGATTCATTCACCGTTGATTGGATCCGTTTAAAATACATAAGTAAATAACTAAAATTTAAGATAATAACGCTCCGCTAATAACACCACCAATATGGCGCTAATGCTCGTACGCTAAGACCTATGATATAAATGTTGACGGCAATATTTCCACGCCGCCCAAATTATCGATTTAGAGACGCACAATAGACGTCACATTCTTAAGATCGGTATGCTATGAATTTCCTGATGGAAATGTTAGAAAATTTGATTTTTAAACAGTTGATATATTGATATATTCACTTGATAAATACATATATGATATTCTGTATAAACTTTACAAACCTCGTCCAAGAAAGTAATGAAGAGCAGCGCTGTGGGAGCACGCGTAAGTTGATCAGTTGGAATTAATGTCAGGGCGCCTGCAACGTCTCATAAATACCATATCCGATGCGCACACGCGACTGTTGTTGCCATCTTGATATAATTTCTTACAATGCATGTGCTGCCCTTGTGGAGAAACAAAAGACCACAATGGGGCCGCTGCATTAATCCAAAACCAGGACGGGATATATTGCAAGGTCAAGCAAAGTGCCTGAATTTCACGAACCAAGCAACACACTTTTATCAAATGAGCGCCGTATGACATGTTGAAGTCGATCTGAATACACACTATCTATTGGAAAATATTGAAAAATATTTAAGAAAATATTTCAACCAAATTAAAACTGTAGTATTTGCGTATCCGAAGTGAAATGAAGTATTTGCGATTACAGATAAAATATAACGAGCCCAATACCTTGTCATCTGCCGTTTAGATCCCGCTTTATGTATGGTACTATACCTTTATATGCCTGCACAGTATTGTTGTCACCAGGAATGTTCAATTAACGGGAATTAGGAACACAAATCGTTTTTTTAGTGGGAGTTTGAGGAAGGCTGATCTCTGCACCGCCATGACGGCCGAGAGCGAGCACCCGCAAGCTCGACCTGCTTACTTGACGCAGTACCTCACTGCGCTATCAGGTAACTAGCGAGAGCCTCAGACTTCTGTAGCCCCAAATTTTTTGTATTTTGTATTCCTTTGCTTTATTCCATATGCAAAGACGTTGCACTTGAAAGGCTGTCTAAAAAATCCATGAATAATATTGAAGAAGAAACGTCGTGACTACAAATATTAACACTCACCGCATTGTCTGGACTCGTACAGTGTCCGTGAGTTCGATGGGAGTGGGCGCCATATTGGGCTTCAACTCACCGGCGTCTTTTCAACTGCGCGCGGCAAGCGACTTCGCCAGCGTCACTGCCAATCGAACAAGTGGAGCATTTTTAACCAATACCACTGATGATGATGACACATCTGGCAACCGTGAGTCATCGCATACAGTTTATCACGTATAGTATATAGATTGTGGTAGCGAGTTGTGGGTTCAAGCTCCATAAGGACGTGAAAATTCTGTGCGATGAGGCTTGTTGGTGACGGTGGTGACGCTTGTTGGTGACGTGAAGGAGGCGCTGGAGATCAGCGTTGCCGCTGAGCATAACTTGTCCGGATGTCCCAAGATTTTTTAAGTTAGGATACCCATTAAAATACTTTTAAGAACAGAAAATGCATTAGCAGCAAAGTTCTAACAATCGTTTCAATCATCACAGACATGCCCCTCGGGAAGACCACCTTCGGGAGTGTGGAGGAGTCATCAGGGACGACAATTGTGATGAGTAGTGAGGACCTGGCGTGGTTCATGTCGGTGTACGCGCTGGGTATGCTGCTGGGGGGTCTGCTCAGCGGTGCCCTCATGAACGCCGTGGGCAGACGCGGCGCCCTCCTGGTCTCTGCCCTGCCTTCCTTGCTGGGCTGGCTTATGACAGGTCAGTTCATATGTTGCTCTTAATATTTGTTGTTGACATTTGTTGTTGATATTCGTTGTTGGTGACAATTGTTGTTTATATTTGTTTTTGATAGCTTATTTGTTGTTGATATTTGTCGTTGATATGTGTTATTGAAATTTGTTGTTGACATTTATTGTTGATATTTGTCATGATATGTGTTATTGATATTTGTTGACATTTATTGTTAATATTTGTTGTTGTTGACATTTATTGTTGATATATGTTGTTGTTGACATTTATTGTTGATATGTGTTGATGTTGACGTTTGTTGTTGATATGTGTTATTGATATTTGTTGTTGATATGTGTTGTTGTTGACATTTGTTGTTGATATGTGTTATTGATAATTGTTATTGACATTTGTTGTTGATATGTGTTGCTGACATTTGTTGTTGACCTTTGTTGATGATATTTTTAAACATTTTTTCTGTTCAGTTCCACTCTGATCTGTTTTTGGCAAAATCTTGTTGGCACAAGGCATCAATTAGGCTCTCTGATACGAATTTGCAATTCAGTAGGTAAAAGACCTATTTATAGGTAGAACAATCAATATGCTAAGCTAATTTATTCATCAGCTGAACACCTTTAACAAAATAAATATATCTACCTAATAAATTAATCCGCGAATCAAGGCAGAATATATTCCCATGAGCAAATACATAAGCCAGTTTTGTGCCTGAGATGGCCAAATTAGCACTCCGAATCATAAATAGAACCGGACATTATTGCAAGATTTTCCAGCTTGAAGTGGGGCACGCTTGCTAGGTGGGGCACGCTTGCTAGGGGGGGCACGCTTGCTAGGTGGGTCACGCTTGCTAGGTGGGGCACGCTTGCTAGGTGGGTCACGCTTGCTAGGTGGGGCACGCTTGCTAGGTGGGTCACGCTTGCTAGGTGGGGCACGCTTGCTAGGTGGGTAATGCTTTTATATTTATTGTTGTTGCGACCCATGGTTTCATATTCCATAGTTTCATGTTTGCGAGTAATAATTGTTCTTTTAGGGATAAAGAGTAAAAAATTGTACCACCTAAACCTACATAAAACTGCATTTGACAAGAATGGAGAAAGGAACATTACGGTTGAATTCAGGAACACCAGGTGGCGCTTTTATATATATTCTTATTTATTCCTGCTTCTGTTGTGTGAAAAGTGTGGAAAAAACTCACAAATAAGATAAAATAATGGTTTTGATGACGATTGAAAAATAGTTTTATTTCAACCTGAATATCTAGGCAGTTTCTATGAGCTGGCTTTGGCCCTGGGCATCCTGCTTGTGATGCTGGGAGGCGCGTTCACCTCATGGCAGCAATTGGCCCTGATCTGCACCAGCCCGACCCTGACCTACGCCACCCTCATCTTCTTCTGCAAGGAGTCCCCAGCCTACCTCCTCATGAAGGGCCAGGAGTCTGAGGCTCGGGCGGCGATGCAATACTACAGAGGTAAAGAAATCAGTTGTTATATCTTAGTTTCGTTATTATTATTATATGCATATTCATTTTATTAGAAACGTAATGTTGCTGTATAGCACTTCCATAGGATGGAGCAGTTACAAAAGGATATAGAATGACGGTTATAAACGACTACATAATATAAATTTCAACTTTCCAGGTGCCGATTACTGCATTGACAAAGAAATGAATGACATTAAAGAGTCACAGGAGGAGGCTAAAAAGGCAAAATTCAAGCTGTCTGACCTGAAGAAGACTCACATCCATCGACCCATCATCATCACCCTCACCATCGGCATCTTCTCGCAGCTCAGCGGCATACAAGTCCTCACCTCCAACCTCAACTCCATCTTCAAGGTAGTGCTCAAAAATTGACGAAAGTGCTAAAAAATCGACTGCATATCTGATTTTGAAATCGAATAAACTTATTTATGACATGATGCTTGGTTCTTCTTAATCTAATTTAGAATAATTTAAATTAAAATTTGAATCTTGAAGTCGATCATTATTTGTTTTAGCCAAGATAATATATATTTTAGGATTTGAGTTATATCTGGTTTATTTGAATGTGACAGTCAATAATTCTACGGAGTTTGTTATCCAGATTTAAGTATCTATCCCACATGTGCGTCAATCAACAATTAAACTCAGTAAAATTAATTAATAATTAAAATTATTTTCCTTTTCCATCTTCAAAATTTATGAATTTAAATAATACGAGAGTTTTATTTTCATGAAATAAACGAGGCAATTGATGTTTTATTATGTAATGCTCAGCTTCACCTAATTCTATTTGACCCTATTGAGTTTGTATAGACCTGTCTCTTATACACATCTAGATGTGTATAAGAGACAGGCTTTGCACTGCTAATGGTAATATCCATGTAAGAGTCTCAATAATTCAGTAGTGGATGGTAATTGTCTATCACATCAAGGCTACTCACTAGTTACTATGTATACTCACAAGTTTTGGATCAACAAAAGGCAGGCATGCATACGTTCATTGATAATTCAAGCAAAAAGGGTTAAAACTATCTTAATTTGCACAAATAATGACTTCAATTTATTGAAAAAAACTAAAAAATTCAAATTAAAAATGTTAAAATTGTCTATGTTTTCTGGCAGCCGGCCTTGGCATATTTTTCTACATGCTTGATGTTGATGAGACTTGGACGAGGCAATACCTGTTCTGGATCCCGATGATCTCCCTGATGGCTTTTGTCGTGGCTTACGGATACGGGATAGGCGCCGTAACCTGGATACTCATCGGTACGTAATACCGATGTTGGTTGTTCTTGAGTGAGTAACTCCGATGCTGGGTACTCATAGGTACGTAATACCGATGTTTGTTGTTCATGGGTGCGTAATTCCGATGCTGGATACTTCTCGGTACGTAATACTGATGTTGGTTGTTCATGGGTGCGCAATTCCGATGCAGGATACTCCTCGGTACGTAATACTGATGTTGGTTGTTCATGGGTGAGTAACTCCGATGCTGGATACTCATAGGTTCGTAACACCGATGTTGGTTGTTCATAGGTGAGTAATTCCGATGCTGGATACTCATCGGTACGTAACACAGATGTTGGTTGTTCATGGGTGCGTAATTCCGATGCTGGATACTCATCGGTACGTAATACCGATGTTGGTTGTTTATATGTGAGTAATTCCGATGCTGGATACTCCGATGTTGGTTGTTCATCGGTACGCAATCCCGATGATTGACCTGAGTAACGGTGGGTGAAGATGTCAACTTCTGGTCTGGTGGAGTCCAATTTTTCAAGTTCTAGTAATTCCTGCTTCTAAATTTAGATTTTTGTTCATATTATTACTAAGTATCAATCAAAGGTGTAAATAATTTGACATATTCGAGCCTGTTTTTAATTTCGTGACATTACATCGAACAAACTAGGCGAGATGCTGCCTCCTCTGGTGCGAGATACGGCAGCGGGTCTCACCGTGGCGTGTGTGGGGACATCGTCTTTCTTCACCGTCCACTCATACGACTACCTGCAGGTAAAAACAAATAGGAAATAAATTATGGTTCGCCACAAAAAAAAAACGTGTGTCGGGCAGTTTTATGATTGAAGCGAAAAGCACACACTGTCTCTTATACACATCTAGATGTGTATAAGAGACAGATATTNCGCGCCACAAGAAAAGGTTGTGTTGGATCATGTCGAGTGCTGCGCGCCACAGGAAAAGGTTGTGTTGGATCATGTCGAGTGCTGCGCGCCACAAGAAAAGGTTGTGTTGGATCATGTCGAGTGCTGCGCGCCACAAGAAAAGGTTGTGTTGGATCATGTCGAGTGCTGCGCGCCACAAGAAAAGGTTGTGTTGGATCATGTCGAGTGCTGCGCGCCACAGGAAAAGGTTGTGTTGGATCATGTCGAGTGCTTCATGCCACAAGAAATGTTTGTGTTGCATCATGTCGAGTGCTGCACATTTCAGCACAAAACATACTGGTTTAGAAGTTTTATACAGGCTAATGCATGGTACGTATGAATGATATGACTTTGTCTGGTTGTTAGCTCTTATATTCCTTGCAATATTAGTTCATAATTTTGTAAATCCATTTTGGGTGCTGGTGTCGAAATAAGTCGAGGTGTTAATTTTCAAGGTTTGAATGGAAAATTACGAAGCTCCCCACTAGCTTTGTAGCATGAAAAAGACTATAAAGTTTCTACTTTATTTATCGTGCTAAAAATGGCAACGGATTTGTATGGAATGAGTGTATAAAAAGTGGTAATCAATTCTCTTAATGAAAATGACCTGTTATAACCTCTTAATAATATATAATTTAATTAATCATAAACTTCATATTGCAACTTACATTTAAAGACCCTTTAGCTGATGTTCACTTATCTTAGGTCTTATCAGATCTTATCTGAAGCCTCATCACTGAATAATGAACGCAATTTTAACCGAATTCTAAGGCCAAAATCATTCCCATTGTCTCAGCTTATGACATAAGACTAGTCATTTCAAGGTCAGATATCACACTTATGGATCTAGATATATTTTAGGTAATTTTAATTAATTTGTTACTTTATTTTAATAAGCGGACTATTGATTGCAAATTACCAAACTTTGGAGCAGTGAGAATTATAATCGCTGACTAGTTTGATTGGAGCTCATTAATGGCCTGTAGGGATATTCATTTAATGAAAAATGTTGAAAAATATTGCTGCTCAGCATGTCAAAATTGTGCTCGTAAAGCCTCCATTCCTTTGTCATACCTTCATTCTTATTGTCATACCTCCCTTCTACTTGCCGTTCCTCCCTTCTACATGACTTACCTCCGTTCCACTTGACTTACCTCCATTCTACTTGACCTACCTCCAATCTACTTGACTTACCTCCATTTCACTTGACCTACCTCCATCCTACTTGACTTACCTCCAATCTACTTGACTTACCTCCATTCTACTTGACTTACCTCCATTCTACTTGACCTACCTCCATCCTACTTGACCTACCTCCATTCTACTTGACCTACCTCCAANGAGGACCGAGTTCTTGGATGAAGTCCACTGTGCTCCGGAGTGAGGACCGAGTTCTTGGATGAAGTCCACTGTGCTCCGGAGTGAGGACCGAGTTCTTGGATGAAGTCCACTGTGCTCCGGAGTGAGGACCGAGTTCATGAAAAATTCAGCGAATCTCTCGCATACATCGTCCATAGTTAATGAGTACAGAATAGTGAAGGATTCAGCGAAACTTCTATAGTTTTGAAGGCCATAATTATGGCGAGCTTTGACTTGAGCCACAATCTTTTACATCGGCAACTTCTTATCCGTCATGAACGTAATAGGAAAAAAGAAAAAAAAGCTGATTTCACGTGTCTCATTCATTTTTTAATAATACAATTTTCATCATTAATAAAAGCACGTTTATATAATTCTTACTGAAGACCCAAACTCCTGAATTCCGTTCAAGTCGTATATTAATCGTTATTCGGGTTACACCTTTGTCAAAAAATTTTAAAATATTTTTAGACAATATTATTTATCACAATGTTATTTTTTATTTGTTTTTTTTACAATATTTTAATGCTGCCTACAAGTAGAAACATTTTAAAACTAATGCTGTAGTTTAATACTTAAACTGTTACGAAAACATGCATAGAAATTAATAGATTGAAAAATATAAACAAAAATTCATGCCAACTCATTAATTAAGAGCTCCTTTGAATTTTCTTTTGTAAAACGGTCCATGTGAACGAAAATCCTGCATCTGTCCAGGAACATTCAGCCAGGAACATTATTTATTGCTATTCATCATAATATTGGGAAACAAAATGCGTGTATTCTCGTTGATGCTATCAGAATTATTATTGAAATGTATCATAAAAATACGCCAAGTCCCAAATGTTGTAAATGGACTACAGTATAATACCTGCATTGCAAGCATTATTTCTGTTATTACTGCCATTATTATGCTATTGTACGTAGCATTTATAAGATAATAAACACCACTGTTATGTACCCATAATAAAATACTAATAAATATAAAGTTCAGAAGCTTTTTTCCCCCGGATTTTTCTTCATGCGCCACTTAATATTATTCGTCACCTGTGAAAATGACAAGATAATGATATGAGACAAGTCTTATTTAAAGTATATTCGAAGATAATACTATTGATATAAGGATTATATTGTCACAACATTACTGAGGAATCATTTATAATAAAGAAAATTATAATCAGTAAACAAGTGATTACAGTGAATGCGCTGAATTCAAATCATGATACATTTAAAAGTTTTAAAGCATTCAACTTCGATACTTCTGATATGTGTAATAGACTAATTCTGAGGGCCAAATGATAGAGATTTTGCTCAAACTGCTTTACGCTTCATGCCTTTGTTTGGGTCGTCCTGACTCCTTTGACCCGGCAAATAGTGTGTATCAGTGCTACGTTCGCTCTCTGCTTGTGATGTAAGAAAGTGCGTCGCAATTTTTATAATTTGACCGATTAATTTTTTGAGTGATATATGGTGCGCTGCAACTGACTCAGTAACTCCTCTTGTGACTCACTTGTGCATTTATTGTGACTCACTTGTACGTTTATTGTAACTCACTTGTACGTTTATTGTTACTCACTTGTACATCCATTGTTACTCACTTGTACGTTTATTGTTACTCACTTGTACGTTTATTGTTACTCACTTGTACGTTTATTGTTACTCACTTGTACGTTTATTGTTACNTGTCACTTACATGGTGCGTGCAGAGATTGTGTGCAGAGCGTGCTGGTGTCACTTACATGGTGCGTGCAGAGATTGTGTGCAGAGCGTGCTGGTGTCACTTACATGGTGCGTGCAGAGATTGTGTGCAGAGCGTGCTGGTGTCACTTACATGGTGCGTGCAGAGATTGTGTGCAGAGCGTGCTGGTGTCACTTACATGGTGCGTGCAGAGATTGTGTGCAGAGCGTGCTGGTGTCACTTACATGGTGCGTGCAGAGATTGTGTGCAGAGCGTGCTGGTGTCACTTACATGGTGCGTGCAGAGATTGTGTGCAGAGCGTGCTGGTGTCACTTACATGGTGCGTGCAGAGATTGTGTGCAGAGCGTGCTGGTGTCACTTACATGGTGCGTGCAGAGATTGTGTGCAGAGCGTGCTGGTGTCACTTACATGGTGCGTGCAGAGATTGTGTGCAGAGCGTGCTGGTGTCACTTACATGGTGCGTGCAGAGATCGTGTGCAGAGCGGGCTGGTGTCACTTACATGGTGCGTGGGGCTGATGTCACTTACATGATGCGTGCGATAAGATAGTATAGAGCGTGTCACTTACATGGTGCGTGCTAATGCGTGAGAACCAAGAGTTGCCAGGCGTGCTACAGGCAGCGATAGCAGGCCACCGCACCGCGGCTGATTAGTTCACAGACCTAATTAGAAGCCAGGAAAGACTGCAACTGTTGCAATGACATATTGGTTATGCATTCATTCAATCATACGCGTTGTATTAGTGCAGGTATTTCGTGCGATCCGTGCAAATCTTCTTAGAACTTCTTTGAGATATAATTCATTTCCAAGTGATTGTCTACTATACCTCCTATACATGAGCATTAATAGATAAGAAGACTTGAAATATATGATTGCAGTCAGTTGCAGATGCCGTCAAAATGTAATGTGAAAAGGGTAATAATTTAGGTTGAAAATATTAAAATTAAAATGCATATATTATTATAAATTAAAAGTGAAATAATTTTTTTAATATGTTCATCTACGACGAAAAGATACAATATAGGTATAAACTTCAAAACATAGGAAATAAACGTATTGGGTGAAAATATTGACTTTATTTGTGTTATATTATGCGAAAGTTGATATGGTTTCAAAATGTCTATGAAGGCAGAGTTACCCTTATCTAATTTGTTAATTAGAATATTTTTAGACTTGAAATTAATGTGGGGTTTTCCAAAGTTTCGTGCAATGATAAGGCCAAGATGTGCGTGAATTGACGTGCTTGACCTTGCATCTAATCTCCTAAGCCTTAGATAGAAACTGTGGTCAGCTTAGACGTTGACACTACGAAGGCGATGCAGGTGAGAGAAACACGAGTGTTTGTCTTCTGAAATACATGCGCTGTGTAGGACTAATAACAGGTGTTGAAGGAACACTCCGTAGGCGATGCAGGCGATTTATACACGTGTGTTTGTCTTATGAAATACATGCGCTGTGTAGGACTAGGAACATGTGTTGCAGGAACACGCAAATTAAACAATAACTTTGCACGGTGGGGGATGCAATAATACGAATGTTTCAATGGAGTAACTCTCATGCTATCATCACAATTATACAGTGTTATAGTTCATCACGGAAATTCGTGATTAAAGTTGTCATTTGCATGAAAATTTTATACTTGTCCAATAACTCTTCGCTCTTTGACAATATATTTTCATAAGAGCAGCTCGGCTGGACGACGTAAGATCCTGCAATGACATGCGCAAGTGTGTATAGGTTTGGATATTTTTTCATCTGCGACTTTTTTTTAATTATGTGTAACGGGTTTTCGTTTTAGGTTTCACATAACTTTTAATTAATTCAATTTAGGTTTGACAGGTTTCCATTCTAGATTTTACTTAACTTTCAATAATTTAATTTAGGTGTAACAGGTTTTCGTTTGAGGTTTCATATAACTTTTAATTAATTTAAAATATGTGTAATAGGTTTTCGTTTCAGGTTCCACATAACTTTTAATGAATTTAAATTACATGCAATTATAGGTTTTCAAATTAGGTTTTACATAACGTTTAATTATTTAATTTAAGTGTAACAGTTTTTCGTGTTTGGTTTCTCATAACTATTAATTAATTTAATTTGGGTGTAACACGTTTTTGTTTTAGGTTTCACACAACTTTTTAATTGATTTAATTTAGGTGAAAAAGTTTTTCGAGTTAGGTTTCTCATAACTATTAATTAATTTAATTTGGGTGTAACACGTTTTTGTTTTAGGTTTCACACACCTTTTTAATTGATTTAATTCAGGTGCAACAGGTTTTCATTTTAGGTTTCACATAATTTTATACAGTTTGATAACTGGAATTGACTTGACTGAGAACTTGACTAAGTTTCAAGTTGACGAGTGAATTTTAGAGAGTAAGCGCAATTCAACTGATCAAATTTACTAGAAAGTATTAAGGTAGTAATTTGGATAAAAACATAGAAATGACTTCTGAAAAAGTGGAATATGAGAAAGGTGGATGGGTCAAGACTGGACGTTATTTAATGTACGTCTTCAATGCCATCTTCAACACTCCGTAGGCGATGCAGGCGATTTATACACTTGTGTTTGTCTTATGAAATACATGCGCTGTGTAGGACTAGGAACAGGTGTTGCAGGAACACGCAAATTAAACAATCACTTTGCACGGTGGGGGATGTAATAATACGAATATGTTTCAATGGAATAACTCTCATGCTATCATCACAATTATACAGTGTTATAGTTCATCACGGAAATTCGTGATTGAAGTTTTCATTTGCACGAAAATTTTATAATAGTCCAATAACTCTTCGCTCTTTGGCAATATATTTTCATAAGAGTAACTCGGCTGTTCCAAGTAAGATCCTGCAACGGCATGTGCAAGCGAATAGTTTTGGATATTTTTTAATCTGCGACTTTTTTTTAATTGGGTGTAACAGGTTTCTGTTTCAGGTTTCGCATAACTTTCAATTGATTTAATTTAGGTTTAACAGGTTTCCGTTCTGGTTTTACGTAACTTTTAATAATTTAATTTAGGTGTAACGGGTTTTCGTTTGAGGATTCAAATAACTTTTAATTTTTTTAATATATGGGTAGCAGGTTTTTGTTTTAGGTTTCACATAACTTTCAATTGATTAAATTTAAAGGTTTTCGTTTCAAATTTCACATCACTTTCGATTAATTTAATTTAGATGCAATTATAGGTTTTCAAATTAGGCTTTACATAACGTTTAATTATTAAACACGATTTTGTTTTAGGTTTCACACAACTTTTTAATTGATTTAATTCAGGTGCAACAGGTTTTCGTTTTAGGTTTCACATAACTTTCCACAGGTTGAGAACTGGAATTGACTTGACTGGAAACTTGACTAACTTTCAAGCTGATGAGTGAATTTTAGAGAGTAAGCGTAATTCAACTGATCAAATTTACTGGAAATATTAAGGTGTAATTTGGATAAAACATAGAAATGACTTCTGAAAAAGTGGAATATGAGAAAGGTGGATGGGTCAAGACTGGACGTTATTTAATGTACGTCTTCAATGCCATCTTCTTTGTGAGTACAAATAGGGATTAATATTGTACCTAAAGTGACGAGGCTTAATAACATATGATGAAAACTCAAACAGAATGCAATATCACTAACATGAAAGCTTTATTGTGAACATTGTTTGCTAGGTTAGGAAATTTATCACTCTCATCTGATTATACCAGGATTGATATAAATAAATATTAATAAGTTGACTAATCATTCTTTACAAATAATAGCTCTAGAATGGCATGGTTCATAAAACGTCTCATGAAAATCTGCGTCAAACTCCGCACGAATAAATGACAATATAAATATATTTAATTTTCTTTTTGTACGCAGGTTTTCGGATCGATTTTGTTCGCTTTCTGCTTGTGGATCCGTTTTGACCCGAATATCGACAACTATGTACGCAATATCAACTTCATGGTATACTGGCAAGCCGTGATCACTTGCATGGTCGGGGCTCTCATCGTCATGATCGCGAGCTGTATTGGCTGCTGCAGCACTTACCTCTGGAGCAAAACTCTCCTCATAGCGGTCAGTCTTGGGAGTAGTAAAGGTGCCAATAACATCTTTGAGCGGTTCAATATCATAATGAACTATTGAATAAAGATAACCATATTACCCCGTCGGGTGCTGAGCCAGGTGGGCCTGAAGCTCGTAAGTACCTCTGCAGCTTGTAAGTACCTCTACAGTTCGTCAGTACCTCTGCAGCTTGTAAGTACCTCTGCAGCTAAAATGTGTAATTTACTTGCTTGAGATATTAATAAAAGAGACTAATCTTAATGTTGAGCACATCATGTGTTGCAGATTCAGCAATAATCTGGTGAGTCTAGTCAATAATCGGCGGCAAGTCTAATTCTGCTTCCATAATAACACTTAATCTTAAATTAAAGAAAAAAATATATTATAAGGTCGTTCATGTTTCCAGCCACGTGGCACAATGAGGTGGAGTTTTTGTGGAGTCAAATTATTTTTCCACATTTGCCACAAGATGTTAATGGACACTAGAAAGTTATGGGAGAAGCTCCAAACTTAGTCCATTAGGTGGATGTGTCAATGTGATGGACTGTGATGCAAATATGCTCACCTTAAATATCACGTTTTGAATTCATTACCATAAATATTCAAAAATGAAAATCGTAATTGATTTTCGACTTCAATAGCTCATATTAATATTGTTTAAATGTTATTAGCGTAACGTTTAACGAAAGTAAAGATAAATCGATTTTGCAGCTTTAATGGAAAATCATTTTCTAAATTAAAAATTCCTAACCACCCAACTTTCTACCCATGAGTTGACCCAGTTTTTCCACATCCAGTACATCGCGACGAGCGTCCTGGCCTTCAGTGTCAACCTAGGAGGAGCCATTTACCTGTTGTCCATCGGCCTGGACAGCACCGGAGCCTACCAGTACATCCAAGAAAACTTCGCCAACTTGATCTACCGCTACAACTATGACATCACCGCCAAGCGATCTGTGGACATCATTCAGGAGACGGTAAATACTATGCAGTGAAACTTAGCATACTATGAAACTAATGAAATACAAATTTTCATTTTTGTTCACAAAATGCGTGATGTTTCCTAAGTTCTCTCACTTGCAGGTGCCAAAAGAGGATACTCCTGAAATCACATGGGCTTGGCGACCTAAAAAGCCTATAGGAGATAAGTAACGGATGATATTTTCGCTCAAGCACCACGATATCTATAGTCTGGCAACTGCAACCGCGTGTCCTGAGCGATAACTATTTTGGTAGAGATGTCACTGGTGATTAAGTTGTGGACACAATAGAGTAGTGGAGGAGAGGCACATAAACTGTATGCAAAAGCTCCTCTAGAGCAACTAATGTAAATAGCATACATGTCAGTCTTCTAAAGTTAAACTGTTATACGCTTCAGTTCAGTAAAACTGGAGGCAAAAGCTCCTCTAGAGTACTAATGTAAATAGCATACATGTCAGTCTTCTAAAGTTAAACTGTTATACGCTTCAGTTCAGTAAAACTGGAGGCAAAAGCTCCTCTAGAGTGATTAATGTAAATAGCATACATGTCAGTCTTCTAAAGTTAGACTGTTATGCGCTTCAGTCGCCGGTCTACGGGAAGATTGCAGCTTCGTGTCGTCTAACACGATAAGGTTCAATGTTCAGCTTAGTTTGTTAGTTAGGTTACAATCAATGTAATGTAAGTCGATAATAATGAATTTATTCAACAGATTCACTGTTGCGGGGGATATTCAACAGGAGACTGGGATGCGATCCACATGCCGTACCCTGACTCTTGTAGAGATAAGGTGAGAATTTCTAGCGCTGCAATTTTGGATGAAATACTAATAAGAAAGTATGAAGATATTGTCGGAAGTTAAAAATTTAAACTGGGAGCCGGCAATGATTATTAATACATTTTGATGGTAATATTATTTATATGATTCACATCATTTCAAAGCCTGCAAAAATTACACCAGCAATGTACCCTTTCTCTAGCCCCATTATTGCCGATGCAATGACCTCAGCTGATAGCATATCACTTGGTTGGCGTCATCCTGATAGCCTCTTGGCAAGGAGCCAGCCAAGGCTGCTTGCAGTACAGCGGAGAGATGACCGACTCGTCGCAAAAAAATTTGCATGAAATCGGATTCAATTCTGTGCTCTCAAATTTAATATGAAATAATAATAGTTTAGATTAATAATTCCGTGCCCATATAATCAAGACTCCTTGCAGTGCAGCGAAGTGGCTAACTCTTCGCAATTCTGTTTGACCTCTTTTTTTTTCTTTTTCTTTCTTTGAAATCTGCGCTGAAATACCGAGTCATAGCAAAAATTAATAATCGGAAACAAGTGACATAAAATTCACCAAACTCTGTAGCACGGATACCATTTCATGATGTTAGTGTTGGTCATCACAGGAATTAACACAGAATAAATACCTACTTTTACACTGGCGTGCAGGTGACAGGCAATCAGTTCAGCTACAGCTGTGCATTGATGGGAGCGTCGTTCCTCGAGTTCAGGACAGGTTGGGTGAGCGGCATCGCGCTCTGCATTTGTTTCCTACAGGTAACCTGTTAACCTGTCGAGCTCTGAAGTGTATGTAGACACGTCCATATATGTGTCTACAATGCAGGTTTCGTTGAAGTCCAGAGAGTATTTCTTATTGACAATTTTCTTATTGTTTTTCTCTATTCGGCGAATTATGCTCTTGATAGGAACTGAAAATTCAAATATCAGGTTTCCAAGTGACATTTTATTATAATTTTAATTTATGACGTTTCGAATGCAACTTTATTCATTATCAAGTAGAANTACACATCTAGATGTGTATAAGAGACAGGTTTTCGATACAACGTTCACATGGAATTAATATATGATATGATATGATTTACTTGCACTGAAGAAGGTCGGTTATGAGCGCCTGTGCCTGGGCAGCCTGGGCTCCGTTCCTTGCTCTCTGTAAACCGAACTGGGAGAGCGGCTCATATATATCGAACATTGCAGGATGACTGTCGAAAAACGCCTCCATGAACGTTGATCCTGAACGCCAGGTTGTCACTATCACGATCTGAATGCATGAAAACAGAACTGTGAAAATAATCTTCCTATGCTAGATGTAATGTTACCTGACGTTATCATTTGCATCATTTATCAAATCGGTAATTTTTGATCATCGATCTTTTCATCATCATCAAAAATTCAACTTTTGATGTTGCTTGAATGTTCAACTCGCCTGCTTCGCCGCTGGTATTTTGCCTTCAAGTTGAGGATCTTGGCGCAGGATCTGCACTGTCTCTTATACACATCTAGATGTGTATAAGAGACAGACCCAGGAGTTGGATGCTCTAATAAAACCATACATCCCGAAGAAATTTTCACTCAAATCTAGAGGCGGTCGGCGCCCATCTGGTGTGCTAGCTTACCGGGGAAGATTTGACATCGGAGGGCGATTTGACTGCATTTTCTTCCCGTCAACTCTTGCAAAACAATAATTTTCTTTGGAGAAATGCAAAATATTTAAATATTTAAACTAATCATCTACTTTTAAAGAGATTTGAATGTTATCATATCATAATTGAAACCATGAGCATTTATTTTCTTTCCAGATATTCACTATGATGTTCGGCTGCTGTATTTACAAAGGCATCAACGATCGACGGAAAGTCTACGCCTACGTGTACAAGGAATGAAGTCAAAAACTTGTGATTTATATTAAGAAATTTTTAGGCTTATTTGATTGATATTAAGTACTGGATGGACTTCTGGTATTTGTAATAATTTTGTATAAAAATAAAATGTTTACTAATCATTTTATTCATCATTGCACTTGATAATATTGCACTAATATTCACCATTGCATTTGATAATTAAAAATGAAAGCCTAATAAAAAAAGGGTAAAATATTCCAGGAATCGATTAGGCTTCTGTGAAACCGCGACGCCTTTTGACGTCACCTGTAAAGTTTTGCTGTTCGCTATTCCGGCAAGTTCGTCGTGGTAACACGACTCACAGTTTACTCTAAGTGCTGTAGAAATTATCTTATATTTGTACGAACCTAAACACTACGCCTCTATTTTTATAATCAAACTCAAAATTTAGCCTATTAGTCACTAATAGACTAAATTTTTAGTTTGATTATAAATACCTTGCACTAATAATTAGTGCAAGGAATTGAAAAATAAGAAGGCCATTATCTCTGTCGGTAGTAGAAATATCAGTGAGGACTTGGAACATGCCGACATGATAATTGCTGGATTGATTCTCATGCTTGTCTACATAACTCTCATGTCGTACGATTTATTTCACACAACCTCAATATAAGCAACAGTAATTGCTACGCACACGCTTGTGAAATTTCTAATGATTGTTTTACGTTCATGTCAGCAATAATAATAAAATTTCGGCTATTATTTGTAGTTAATAGGTAAAAATGTGCAAATCCTGTTACATTCAAATGTCGTGACATATTTTTAGAAGCTTCCATTTGTGATGAAGATTATTTTTTTATTTGTGCAATAATACATTGTTTTTATCAAATTTTTTTAAATTGGCATTAAATCTTCGTGATCTAAAATTAAGAGTTAAACATTGATAGCTAGCGTAATTGTAATCAAGATTGCGTATAATGCACACTGAGAAGCACGGATGCACTGATGCATGCTGTATATTGCGATGAATGTTGTATAAAGTGATGCGTCCTCTTCACTGTCTGTACAATGTCTGTATAATGTGTGCGTCAGGACATCGCGGACAAAGTTTGCACCAGTTCTGGTTAAACAAAATATATGTTTTATTGACAGGAGACCTGAGGCAAGAATACGACCGTTACACCTTGATTAATTTCTATACACGATTATCATCATATAACATAACATAACATAGTGATGTCGGCGCTGAAGAGTAGGCCTGGTGTGGCCTGTCGCCGATTCTTGTACTTTTCGTGACTTGTTCACAGAAGATCTAAAATCGTTTCATTTCACCGGATCTTTTCAGGACTGACGATAGTTTGAAACATCTACTAGACTTCCACCGGGTTCGATATGGTGCTAAGATTTCAAGTCTGAACATATTTTTCCATAGCTTTATCTAGTCTTTTCTTGAACGCGTTCATACTTGGAGCGCCAACGATGTAAACAGGGAGGCTGTTCCACATGTCGGTGACTCGAAGCGAGAAGAAATGTTGTCGCATGGATGTGTTACACAACAACACAACACAGTTTTTAGTTTATAGCCGTGGCCCCTGGTGTTGGTTCTTGTTTCAAATTCTAGTAATCCTTCGGGTTCCTTGTATAAACCACGAGTTTACTTGTATCCTTCAATGAGGTCACCACGCAGGCGACGATAACGGAGGCTTGGCAGCTTCATAATCTGTAATCTTTCTTCATAGGACTTGCCCTTCAAGCCTGGAATTATAAATTTTTGTTCTTCTCAAATCTCGGTGACCACACAACGTTTCCAAACTCTAGATTCGGGCGCACGACAGCAACAAACAACTGCTTCATCGCAACAAAAACTGCTTCAGCGCTATAAACCCGGTTTTCCAGTTTCAAACTTTAATTCAGAGAAGAGCAAACGAATCAAGCAGTTTAAAAGTCTATGTCATATTACAAGTGAATACGAGCAGTTAGCACGTATTTACTGTTAAAATAACATTGCATGATTAAAATGATTAAAAGCTCAGTTTATATTTCTGCTTATTTCTCTTCCATTCCCTTGTGGTATTTATGAGCTATTTTTGATGACTTTAATTTGCGTTAATTTAATCCAGCATGACTCTAGTGAGATGCCCCGTCAGACCGCTGTTATTACAATATTAGAGTTTAAATCTATGCACTTTTCGACGTTAGTGATATTTTTCTGCGCACGTTCTTTCACATTATTCATGTTTTATCTACAATGATTTTCTTATTGTTACAGTTGTCATAAGTCGATAATAATTTCGTTTAGGACATCTTTTAAAGACAGATTTTTAGTACCATTTACAAGCTTGTAACCGAAATTTGTCATCGTATCTGCGCAGGCGTCTTGCACTTCCACCAGATCAGTGGAGGACATGTTGCGGGTCCAGTGCAATAAATGTTCCTTAGATTTCCGAGACGTGGTCCAGGGCTTATTTTGTTCTTTAGATGTGTGAATTTCTATAAACTTTTCCATAGAAGTCGTGTAGGTCAAGCCAACCCATTGAGTGACGTTACGAGCCATGTTCGAGACATCGTTCATGAAATCTTCGTATCTTAATAAATGAATTCGATCAGGGTATAACTTTTTTAATGTTTTAAATGACTCCAAATCGTTGTCCATATCTTGACACAGAACTGAAGGAAAATAACATTCAACTGAGGTTGGCTTACACCAGGTAACCGTGGCACGTCTCGAGTGGATCACAGCGCGAGGGTCTCGCACTAAGTAAATAATCCTGAGGTCTGACGAGACCGGACTTTCCAAAAAGGGTTTCAGTAAACCTAAGTCCATGCGGACGATCTTCAAAATCTTCCACGGAAAAAATTGGCAAGCTTTAGATAGGAACTCTGGATGTAGACAAGTGTCCTCCCGCCACATGCTTTTGTTACAGAACGAATGTACCGTCGGGTCCATCATGGAATCTATTACTTTAATTTTATCCAAGTATTTGATGCTCTCATACCTGAAAAAAATGTAGCGTTGCTTACTGAATGAGAAAAAGAGATCAGAAGAACCTTATAAAATCTTGTCATATCTTTTGACATAACATTCACAAGGAATGAATATTTGTGAAAACGAGATCAAAATAACCTTATAAATGTTTTTTTATAGTTTTCGATACAACGTTCACATGGAATTAATATATGATTTGATATGATTTACTTGCACTGCAGGAGGTCGGTTATGAGGGCCTGTGCCTGGGCAGCCTGGGCTCCGTTCCTTGCTCTCTGTAAACCGAACTGGGAGAGCGGCTCATATATATCGAACATTGCAGGATGACTGTCGAAAAACGCCTCCATGAACGTTGATCCTGAACGCCAGGTTGTCACTATCACGATCTGAATGCATGAAAACAGAACTGTGAAAATAATCTTCCTATGCTAGATGTAATGTTACCTGAAGTTATCATTTGCGTCATTTATCAAGATCGGTGATTTTTGATCATCGATTTTTTCATCATCATCGAAAATTCAACTTTTGATGTTGCTTGAATGTTCAACTCGCCTGCTTCGCCGCTGGTATTTTGCCTTCAAGTTGAGGATCTTGGCGCAGGATCTGCAGGTCTCTCCCCACCGCCGACTGTGGGTGGGGAAAGAACGACAGTTACCGAGTGTCCTGGATTGCTACAAGAATATTTCATTGCAGTATCGTAATACAAATTCCAGATAATTAAAATCGACAAGTGAATAATTACTTAGAAACGAAGTCAAACTGTAGAATTCACTCATACTGATAGGTAACAGAAGGAAAAATCGAACCCACCTCAACTTTAGTTCATCATTTCTGATGAAAATGATAATTCGAAGCCCGTTTCAGAGAAGTATGGTTACTCACGTTTACTTTTTGTAATATTTCGGTGACATGTTTGCCAGGAGTGTCGATGCGGTTATAAGTGTTTTCAAAGCGGCGACCGATGCCAAACCGAGGCCTGGGTTTACTCTGAAAGAAAGTCACATGCTTCGTTCATCCACAGAATTGTGGTTTTCTTTTTCGGAAGATCATTCAAATATTGTGAATATTTTTATAGAACTTAAAATTGTTCATATTCATATATTAAAATCGTATCCTCTAAAATTACTAGCGGAACAAACATAGAAACAGGCCTCATTAGAGGCATTTCCATGAATGAGCAAAATTAATTGGCTTATTGTACCCTTTTACTGGTAAATATTGTTGATATAGTTTTTAACTTTCGCTGATTTTACTGAATTCCTGAGCCAACTCTAAAAGTTTGTGGTAATCTATATAATATCGGATAATAGCATCTATATCATATATAATAATAATATACCTTGTAAAACAGCAATTTTCAATATTGAACTAAATGTTAACCTGCATTGGCAGATAAAATCAATGCAAATTTCATGATTGAATTAAAATGCAATTTTCATTTGAATTGGCTAATTAATATCAGAACTATCGAGAGGATAAAATAGGTAGAAATTTCCCAAGATTACGACACTCTATTCCCCGAAAGCTTGCGTTGGGCGCGAGTCGAACCATTTTTCTGCGTGGTGGGGCGGGGTGAGGCGGGAGCTGTGCAAGCGAATTGTACCCATCTGTTCGGGGCAAAATTATTTAAAGTACAAGTAATTTTTAAATAACAAAGAAGAGTTATTTTAAAGACTGTAAATATTACACCGCCACGTTGAAACAGTGAAACTCTCCAAGTTTTCATGAATATCTTCGTTCCAGTTATGATGAAAGACGGATGACTATGTAAGAAAAATCTCCCCGACCACATTGTGCTTTAAATTTCCCCATTTCTATTTGAACAAAGAAGTTAAAATAAATTTAATATAAATATTACCAGGCTATGAGTGAATTTAATTGTTTTATGTTGGCACTTGAGACTTACCGCCAGCCCCACCGCTCGGTCCTGAGATGAACATCACACTTGTGATCGTAACGGCGACAAGCGCCAACATACCATAGAAGCCACGGGAGGCCTGACAGCGAGCATGATAATTTATTAATGAGACACACACAGAAAATGAATGCGTCATGTTGTTCAGAAAGAGAAATACTTTCTCACCCCGATACGACCAGAGAATGAAACAGGTAATGATACGTGCCAAACTGGGTCAACATAACCAACACAAAATATAGCGGTTTCAGCGTTTATATATGGCCGGAGGCCTGTCGCCGATTTTTAACATCGCAGAATATCCACAGCTCGTTGCGGGCTCGAACTCGCAACTCACGGCTTCAATTTTTTGCTGTACTTAACCGCCCGGCCTCCTCGCCGATTCTGACCAGAAACTGGCGCACAGAGCTGGGATTGAACCCGCACCTCTCTGCGCCAATCTTGGTACTCTGAACTGTAACCACTGGGCCAAGTGAATAACAAGGGTAACAAGTGTATAGATCTTTCCTTTCCCTGAATGCATGACAAATCGTGGCCACCATCATTATGCAGATTTGTTATCATTTAACTTTCACATAATTTTCAGACCAATTCAACGCACCCGCATCCTTGAGGATCCCCCGAATGGACGACAGTCCGTCAGCGATTAAACACCTCTGAGGAAATCGCCCAGGCCGCACGACGCGCGCTTTTTCACACACGAGACACGGCAGCACACATGAAGCGACTTCGATGATAAGAGGCTTAATGCATCGCCACGTCCACCTACATTCGCGCAATATTTTACGATGATTTCTAGGCCTATGACTAGTTTTTAAGAAATTTCTAGGCCTTTAATGACATTTTTTTTAATTTATGAATTTGGATGCACATGAAGTATAAACCACCAAGCACCAACAGCTGCGTATATTAAATAAACGTTTCACTAAAATATAAAGCAGCACTTACGGTATTTTTTAGTTATGCTAACAAGTTAATTTCTTTTGAATTATTCTGAAACGATATGCACAACAACTAGTTTACATAAATAGTTTACACCATCTTTTCAAATTTTAATATATGCTCAACCAGAATCATTTGGAGAAACTTCTCAATTTTACTTGAATGGGCCAAACTTAGTCAATTCTGTAGCGCTGACCCTGCCATGCTATATTATTATTTGACTTGGTTTTGAGCACTTTTCAGATGTAGCTTGATAGGAAGACTCGGTTTGGCAAAAAAACCTACATGAGAAAGTTGGTCACTGACGCGGCATCAGCTGCGAGGCGCCGCGGTTGTTCAGTCAACAGGTGTGCCCGCGATACGAGATGCACTCGAGATAAGAGGGTTATTGTGTGCATAGATAATTATCAGCACACTTAATTACTGCTATATTAGGACAATGAAAGAGTTTGTTGGATGATAATACTTTTTAAATTGTTATTTATTGTGAAACAACCGATGTTTTCTCATGCGCATTCTCGGAAAATGTTCTACATTTCTTAAATCGAGCGAAACTGAATACAAATTATTCTGTTTCAAAAATTGAATGAAATAAGAAATGTAAATAATATTTTGTACAGTAACTTTTCACATTAAAATATACTTGACATGTTATTCGGTAATTTGAAATATTCTATTATAACAAGGAAATGAAATTTTGAAATCTATGTTGTAAAATGCTGTGTGAATCTTCGAAACGTTATTATTATTTTGTAGGGCATACGATTCACAGTTGATTGAATTTAATTGCCTCTATAGAATCTGAATGGAAGCTTCAGTTAAACATTGCCTCACGCTGTTATAAATTTGTACTTTCATTACCACGTCACCCAACTGATTCTAAATACATTTGAATTTTTGTCAAAGATTTCGCAAAGACCCTTCAATTGGATCGTAAATTGACATATAAGGGAACACTGCTATCATATTTTTCCGACATTTGGCAGATTTGGCTTTAAATTTTAACATACATTTTTGTAACTCAAATAACGTCAACAAATACTGTATGTTTGGGGTCTCGCAGTTGTTCGGACGCGTGTGTGCAGGACGTGCCAGAGGCGCGGTGTTCAGATGGGTGGATGCAGCAGGAGGCCGAGGCGCGGAGTTCAAATGTGTTTATGTAGCACATACCAATAGCGCGATGTTGATGTAGGTGTGTGTAGCACGTGCCAGAGGCGCGATGTTCAGATAGGAGTATGAAGGACGTGCCAGAGGCGCGTGGCAAGACTCTGGCCGATGGAGATGCGTCGGTTGGTGTCTGAGGACCGCCGCCGTTCCGAAGATGTTCGACGCCTAAATAACGACATGAAATAAAATTATTAGTCACTGGGATCTAATCTTCGGTGTTAAAGGTATCAATCTTCGTTAACTAATATACAATGGTTGTTAATAGGCGGTCAGCGATCGGCAACACATGTTCAAGTTTTTATTGTCTTCGATGTAAGGACTCACCGCTGAATTTTGCTCGCGTACTGCGATATCTAACATTTCCTCTTAGATGAATGCAATATTAGTATTATGAGCAATTATGTTGTGCTGTAGGCAGCGCTCAATCAACAGATGCATATCATTTGAAAGTCGAAATTGGAACATGTTCATTTGACACTTGCTGTACAATCGGACTGTTTTTAGGGTAAAATTAGTTATTTGGGGTACCGGTAACACATGCATGCAACCTTGCAAATAAGTATGTGGCTTGTAAATAGTTTTTCATTACTCAGCATAAATGGCTTTTCATTAAAAATTACCCGGCGACGCATCTTGAAAATGGTTGGCGACGCTTTGGGCTTGAAAACCCATATATTGACGACGCTGCTTCCACCTTCTGCACCCTGGAGAGCGACTGGCTGCACACCTCTCACCTCGCTGTCATGATCGGCACTGGCTGCTGTGGCAGAAGCTGGCTTAATTATAAGTCCCGCCCTCGAATTAAGCCCATAGTAATTAATGATGGCCGCCTAGTACCGCCCCCTGTTCCACGTGCGTTGTTTTCGTAAAAATTCACGTAGAAAGATGTTTCTAGTACCGTTCGAACCGTCAGAAAGTAAGCTTTATGATGAGTATAAGCACCGGATAATGCCATAATTGGCCGCTTTACGTCAGACGTTCATTTTTAGTGTGTCCAGCCTTCGAATTAATCCCATAGAGTTTACTGAAGGGCCCTAAAAACTGCCCCCCTTTGGGGAGCTGTCACGAAATCATTTTTCGACGTAGAGGGATGATTCTGGTACCATTCGATTTGTCAGAAAGTAAGCTTTAAGATGAGCACAAAAACCGGAAAACGCCAGAATTGAAAATTTTAGGGTAGCCGGTCCCCTTACACGAGTTAGAAAAATAAAATAATACCATATAATAACTGAATATAATTGCCAATGATTTAGACCTACTGCACTCGAGAAGCTAATGAGCTTCCAAAAGCTAGAATTATATGTATAGAATAAGTCAACACCCGATCTCTTAACAAATTGCGTAATCACTTCGATACACGATCTAATGACCAGATTGGTGAAACTATACGGCAAGTTAGACATTTTTCCGTTGAAATTACAGGACTTTCATTTAATGATGAAAAGATGAAATAAATGTACTACTGAAATTGTTAAATAATAAAACCAAATTGATGAGACTGAGTTCTCTTTTGTTGCGGTATATTGTTTCTTCATTCATGTGTTCGTTATTTTAATTGAATTAATTATATTTGTAAATTACTGACCTGATTACCGACTAGGTAGACGAAAGGTTCCGCATCGCCGTCTAGAGGAATGGTCTCTCTAACAGGCTCGCCCCAGGGCTGAACCGCGACCATCTCGTCAGGACTCAACACCCCCTCCAGGGCTAGTCCCCCACAGGTCTGGTCCACACGCTCCAGCTTCCTGAGGTCGATGCCGTAGCGGTGCATGATCGCGTACGCCTTCTGCAGCACCTCCGCCTTAGGTGTCTTCTCTCGCGTCAGCAAGAAAATGTTCTCTAAAATTGTGACATTGTACGCGATGGTTAATTTTCATGTGATGATCGAAATGACTAGAGTTAACAAGAATTCAATAGGAAAGAGAATATCAAATAAATTCGGTATGTTCGTCCTATCCTTATCGAAAATTTCATGTTGGCGTTTTTTTATATTTGGATTCAAAAGCATGCTTACTTAATATAACACGACGAAAATTTCACGTTAGTGTTTTCATTTTTTTTTCAAATTTCTGATTAACTTGCGATTCAAGCAAATTAATGCTATACTAGCAAATATATTATATTATATTGTATTAATGCCATACATAGCAAATTAATGTTATAAATAACTACAATGACTTGTATATATATAAAATCTGTTTAATAAGATGGTAATTAGCACGTTGAACATGTTTCCTCCCAATTTTTTAGTATATGTTCAGCAGAACTGACCTGATTTTGGCAGGATGCCGTTGGGGCGACACTGATACTCAATGGAGTACGAATCATAGTCTGACGCAAGGATCTGGAATTCGTCCGACATGACTGAAAAAAAAAACTTGCTATCATCCAATGAAACACTTTTGAATGAAGATCAAATGAGAAATATTATATAAACATAAAATGTGTTCATATGCAGCAACCGTAATATAACTTTATAAATGATTAGAAAACTGTCAAATGTTAACAAAATAGGGCATTGAAATTTACAGGTGTATGGGATGGAGTATTTGATGACCGAAGGCTTAGCAGGTCCCTGTAGCGTGAGGCGTGACTCCAGCGTGTTGGTGCCCCCGGTGCTGCCCAGAGACGTAAAGTGAAGGTAGAAATGTGCGGCGGGTAGAAATTTGCAGCGGGTAGAGGTGTGTAGCGGGTAGAAATGTGTAGCGGGTAGAGGTGTGTAGCGAGTAGAAATGTGCAGCGGGTAGAGGTGTGTAGCAGGTAGAAATTTGCAGCGGGTAGAGGTGTGTAGCAGGTAGAAATTTGCAGCGGGTAGAGGTGTGTAGTGGGTAGAAATGTGTAGCGGGTAGAGGTGTGTAGCAGGTAGAAATGTGCAGCGGGTAGAGGTGTGTAGCAGGTAGAAATTTGCAGCGGGTAGAGGTGTGTAGTGGGTAGAAATGTGCAGCGGGTAGAGGTGTGTAGCGAGTAGAAATGTGGAGCGGTGTAGAGATGTGCTCGTATATAGCATTTAATAATTCAAATGGAAGTCATGAAACAGATACCATGTTGTAGAAGTATACTATATAAATAACGATAAAAGATTTAAAAAATAAAAGAGAAATATAATATGCAAGTCATGTTATTCGCACAACTAACATTGTATTCTGGTAGCGAAGCTTCATGCGGTACTCTCCCGACTTGGCGTCTCGTACGTAGAACGATTGCCAGCACCGGCCAGGAGCCCCCCAACTGGTCTGTTGTTTGTCTTGGTGGTACCACAATCCTGTGTACTGAAACCAGCAGGCAATGATGAAAACATAGAAAACCATATTCATTATCGATCAATATTAATTTCATCAACCTTCTCAACCAGGCAGTCAAAACAATCAACAGTAACTCACAACCGAACCGTGCAGGGTCGTATACTACGTATACTAAGCCCTCTACCGCGGAAGGTCACTCTCCGGGAACATAACTTTCAAACGAAGTTAGTCGTAAACTATTGAGTGTAGCAACCTGAGGACGTTTGTACGCAACAGAGAACATTTTAAAGTTGTCGTACGAGGCGGCAACCAACAGTGCAAGTCATTTAGCGCTTACTAGAACGTATCATTTTTAGCGCATTTTCTCATTTATGGAAAAATGCCCTATTGTGCTCGCCATGTCCGCCCGTCTGTCCGTCTATTCGTCTGTCTGTCTGTCCGTCCGTGACTTCACGTTTTCGTCAACGAGAAAAAGCGCTCTCTGTCACTCACTGCAGTCAGTACTGAGTTACATTTGTGTCCTTTTTGGGAAATAGGCTTGTGACAATATTGCTCCGGTTAATCATGTCAGGTGCACATGGTAGAGGCTTAAAAACTCGTTAGAATTAATTAAGTAGACTACAATATTGAGGTATACGCAAGGAAATAAACCAAGTAATGTAACAAATAACAAAACCATAATTCGAAGCCCAGTTCTCCGACATTTTACCAAGCAAAATCTCGGCGCTAAATTCCGCACTTAATCAATTTTCAAAACAAGCCATCAAACACCAAATAAATATTCACTTCTCTTTTGAGTATTAAATACTCAAACATAATCAGAAATCATTAAATACCTTACATGATATTAACTTTCTCAGATGCTCTAATAAGATAACACCCACCCTGCTGAAGTCGAATTTCCGGATGATGGGGTATGAGGGGCAGATCAATAGATCACTCATCAATCTTCAAAACAAGTCATCAAACACCAAATAACTTTTCACTTCTTCCATAAATGGTAAATTAAAACTTTCTCATATGCTTTGATGAGATAACACCCACCCTGCTGAAGTCGAAGTCCCGGATGATGGGGTACGAGGGGCAAATGCCGGCCATTGCCCCCGCCACCCACAGGAGGACGAGTGACGCGACATGCAGGGTACTGCACGGCGCGAGTCTCATGTCTTGATTTTTTTATCAAATTCCGGTGATTGATAAGATTTTCTTGAAAGTAGCAACCTGAGGACGTTTGTACGCAACAGAGAACATTTTAAAGTTGTCGTACGTGGCGGCAACCATCAGTGCAAGTCATTTTGCGCTCACTGGAACGTATCTTTTTTTGGAAAGTAGGCTTGCGACAATATTGCTCCTGTTAATCATGTAAGGCGGTAGAGGCGTAAAAACTCGTTGAAATTAAATAACTCGGCTATAATATTGAGGTATACGCAAGGAAATAAATCAAATAATGTATCGAAGCCACAAAACCATAATTTGAAGCCCAGTTCTCCGACATTTTACCAAGCACAATCTCGGCGCTGAATTGCGCACTTAATCAATCTTCATAACAAGCCATCGAACACCAAATAAATATTCGCTTCTTTTTTTAATATTAAATTAAAACTTTCTCAGATGCTCTAATAGGATAATACCCACCCTGCTGAAGTCGAAGTCCCGGATGATGGGGTATGAGGGGCAGATGCCGGCCATTGCCCCCGCCACCCACAGGAGGACGAGTGACGCGACATGCAAGGTACTGCACGGCGCGAGTCTCATATCTTGATTTTTTTATCAAATTCCGGTGATTGATAAGATTTTCTTGAATTTTAAGTGGGAGTAAGAAAAGCTACAAGTGCAATAAATGTTTTTGTTGATGCTAATGAATGTAATCAATTGATGATACTAAGTATCACGACTTCCTAGCATTAATTTCAATAAGCTTGAATGGGTAGAGAAATTTGAGCACACGTCAACTAGATGGGATAGTTGATAAAATTATCAGTAATGTCTCTTGAAAAAAAATCCTATAATTAAGGAGTAAAAGAAAATCCAGAGGAAATAATATAAATTTGGAGTCTTTATCATTCGTTCCATTTGATTATTATTGATCATACTATGGCTTCACGTGAATAATTAAATTTATGTAATGTCTGAGTAGCAATGAAGCGACCTCATAAAGCAGAGGCATGGCATGACTTAGCTGAGATCTCCTGCTAAGCTTTCCCTCTTTTGTTCGAATGACTTGCAGGTTCCGATCCTGGCAAACAAAAGATTCTAGGTTGCTTTTTTCATCTTTTGAACTTTTATTATATTTTACTTTACTTTGTACGAGTCATTGGCCGCAAAGATACAATGTCTTCTGATATTGAACGGAATACAACTTTTTTCTTTTAAAACTATTACTTTTCGGATTAAGTTCCTTAATTGTTTGTGCTAAATTCTCAATTGAGGTACGTTATAAATTTATTTTTAATTATTATGAAAATTCAAATGAAACAAATTTAATTCAAATGAAATAATATCATACGATAATTGATTGCTGGGCAACCAAAACTGCATTTCAATTACTTGTAATTAAAAGTCAGGTTTGAAAATATTGACGAAGTTTTTAAGCAACCACAATCTTTTATTCTAGGTCTTTATTTGGTAATTCTTTCATCATTATAATATTTTTTTCTTTATTATTTCCAATGAAGAATTTTAAAAAATTGTATCGAGGCCATTAGAGGATCGCGATTCACTCCAAAATTATTTATAATGCCTATACCTTCATTGTAGTATTTGCAAACAACAGACGAGGTTCTAATGCCAGGCGAAAAAATATTTCACATAACGGACCAAGTTTCAGCGTCAGGCTGGCGAAAGAAGTTTGCGCTCGAGAAAGCCGGCATTCGTAACCTACATCGCGATATAATGAAGTTTTGACAATTGGTAAAGTGCAGCAAAGCTAAGCTTTAAAACTTCCCAGATTCTATGGCCAGGAAGTGAAACGACGGTGTTCTTTAAAACATTGTTCCAGAGGGGCAAACTCTCGGGACCTTTGAACTGAAAGTCGGAAGCTAATTGCTCGATCGTTCGAGTTGCTGGCTTGTCTATGAATGCTGAATACAATCATAGAGTTCACGTCTATGCATATTTAAATTACTCAGGTATACATATCACGTCACGGTATGCATATTTAAATTATTCAGATTTCCTGTTTTAGCTCGCACATAGAATGACGACGAACATTTCATCCATTTTGAACATACAATTCGACTCGTAGATGTTTGACGAGGATGTTGAATACCTGTGTCGATGAGAACATGAACATGAATATTTATTACCTGATTGTTGCGGAATAATGTTCTGCGGACGGAGAAACGTTTTGAATACGAAATGAATAAGATTTTCATAAATTTGAGCTAACATTATAAAAATACAGATGGGAGAAGAAGCGCTGTTATTACCGCCGAAAAAACAAACGTGATTACTGAGATGGAATGAAGGAATTTCATTACCGTTTTTAACAGCGGATATTAATATAGGTAATATAAATAATGGACCAATCATTATATTAGCTATATTAATGTTATTATTGCAGGTAATATAATGGATCAATCTTCCCGGCATCAGATGAGTTAAAATGAGTTTGTAAATGCGTAGCAGTACTCACGCATGTAAGTTGCATCCACAAATATAAAGCTGAGAGAAGCCACTCTGATATTTCCAGCATTAATACCAAGACGGGCATTAATATATGGGATGGAAACGGATTAGGTTGTTCCGAAACTATTATAAATTGAATAATGAATGTTTTATTTGCCGCCAGCAATGATTCGTATCATTTCCAGTCACACGTGTATTCACACACGCCAAAATTATTATAAACCATCCTTATGTATGTGTTTAAAAAAAAACTTGTGCGATATCGCGCGTTGGTACCGAAATATCAGTACTTTTCCAACCTAATTCAGTCTAGTGATCGCTTGAAGCTCTATTGAACTGCTAGCATTTAAATTACGACGTGGATGAAGACTAGCCGATTAGATCTTCAAATGTGTCTTTTCTTGTCCAAAAGTGTAACAAAATTCCATTTTATCAACAATGTTCTCTTCTCTTATGAAAGGTCAAGCAGTCCAATTTGATGAATCTCTGACTTAACGTTGTCTTCGCAAAGTTTCTCCGTTTGTTTTCGAGGATGGAGTTGTCAGTACCTTCAAGGTATCACCGTAACATTAACACGCTGTAACATTATTATCTGCCTTCCGACCGTCCGGGTTACTTAAAATGCCATTTTGGATGGTGCATTCGATGAAGCAGACATAACTCAAACTTGTTAGTCTCTCTATCGGCCAATATCTCGAATATATTTCGATGATTGAGGATCAACTACGGACGTAAACCTAGAGTTCAACCCTGAAATTTGATGAATGGAATAATGAAAACATTAACAATCAATTTAGTCACGGTATCACAACTTCCCCAGCTCGTCTAGCCCCAGTGGCCGAACTACCAAAACTCGTTCAAGTACACGTAGCGGTCTATACAGTCACTCAGCATGAGAGGCAGTCACTCAGCATGAGAGGCAGTCACTCAGCATGGGAGACAGTCACTCAGCATGGGAGGCAGTCACTCAGCATGGGAGACAGTCACTCAGCATGGGAGGCAGTCACTCAGCATGATAGACAGTCACTCAGCATGATAGACAGTCATTCAGCATGATATTAGCGTAGATAATTACACTGTATGTAACAAGTTATCCAGTTTATGTTGCAAATGTGGCAATTTACAACTTAATAATAAAATTAAAAAAAAAATGAATTTTACTATGAGACTATAGATCCTTTTTGTTTCGGAATAGATTTATCGTTATAATGTGTTCGAAAATTCCATCGAAGTAATCATATTTGGAAATTATGTCTATTTACAAATGGAAATTTTGAATGGAAATTTCTAAAACCGGAATGCGAGCAGGACTGTCATAATATTTTAAGGAAATGGGTAATCTAGGATTTATGATCTATTCAAGCGCAACTCATCCACGCGACAACATTTCTTCTCGCTTCGAATCAACGACATGTGGAACAGCCTCCCTGATTACATCGTTGGCGCTCCAAGTATGAACGCGTTCAAGAACAGACTAGATAAAGCCATAGAAAAATATATGTTCAGACTAGAAATGCCTAGCACCATATCCAACCCGACGGAAGTCTAGTAGCTGTTTCAAACTATCGTCCGTTTGGAAAAGAACCGGTCGAAAGACGTTTTCTAGATCTTCTGTGAACAAGTCACGAAATGTACACGAATCGGTGACAGGCCGCATCAGGCCTACTCTTCAGCGCCGACATCACTATGTTATGTAGGTTATGTTATGTTATGTTATCTTATGTTATGTTATGTTATGTTATGTTGTTATGTTATGTTATAATATGTTATGTTATGTTATGTTATGTTATGTTTGTTATGTCATGTTATGTTACGTAGCTTAACAACGAATGGATGTATGATTAGGCATTAAACTTATCTACAAACCCCATTATTTCGAATTAGTCGGCATTTTTTTAGACAAATAATACTTAACTTTTAGTAAATGAACCTAAAATTATTTAGGAGGTTTAAGTTTATTTTCAGGGTTGGAGCTAAAGCCCTCTTAACCCTTTCCGGCCCAGGTGTTCATGACGCCACTCGTCATGAACGTTCCCAGTGTTCGGCTGTTTGATCAAACATTTAATGCATCTGAAAGCTGATAACGAACTCGTATAAGCGATTACAATTTGTGAACCATAAAATTACACTAAAATCACGCATGCAGACTGTTTCTAGTGCATTCAGCTTGGATTATTGCAGTCAGCATTTTCAATTCATTTAGCTTGTCTAGTGCATGCAGCTTGTCCAGTTTATTCGTCTTGTCTGGTGTATTAAGTGTTTCTAGTGCATTCAGCTTAGAAACGTTGTGTGGTCACCGAGATTTGAAAAGGACAGAAATTTAATAGAGAATGTTCAAAGACGTGCAACAAGGATACTTCCAGGCTTGAATGGCAAGTCCTATGAAGAAAGGTTGAAGATCATGAAGTTTCCAAGCCTCAGTTATCGACGTCTGAGTGGGAACCTCATTGAAGTATACAAGTATACTCATGGTCTATACAAGGTCCCCGAAGGATTACTAGAATTTGGAATTAGAACCAACACCAGGGGCCATAGCTATAAGCTAAAGAAACTGCGCTGCAACTTCTCCACGCGCCAACATTTCTTATCGCTTCGAATCACCGACATGTGGAACAGCCTCCCCGATGACATCGTTGGCGCTCCAAGTATGAACGCGTTCAAGAACAGACTAGATAAAGCTATGGAAAAACATAAGTTCAGATTTGAAATGCCTAGCTCCTTATCGAACCCGGTGGAAGTCAAGTAGTTACTTCAAACTATCGTGAGTCATGAAAAAATCTGGTCAAATGACACGATTTTAGATCTTCTGTGAACAAGGCACGAAAAGGAAAAGAATCGGCGACAGGCTACATCAGACCTACGCTTCAGCGCCGAGATCACTATGTTATGTTAAAACATAATTATGAATAGTTTTTGTTAAAATCACAAACCGAGACAAACCTGTTGAGATTTAAAAAATGTGAAAACTGGTAATCAATGTTTATACACATCCAAACTTTCTAAAATCAAATTCAATTATCAGCTAAACTGCTATTAATTACATCGAATGCAGCTTTCATCATGTACAAAGAAATAATCTATTTTCCAGCAAGCTAAGCAGTTTTTATACTTAGAGTTGAACAGGATCAATGGAGGAAATTGGATCATTTGAACTGGTTGTCAACTCAATGAACTAACATGCCGTTTATTATGTTGACTCTAATTACAACCATACTGTCACTACATAACAAAAACCAGTTTAGCCAAAAATTTCCACAAAAACTTCAATCACATCCTAATAATAGAATTCTTCCTCGAATGATTGAAATGCTCCAAATTAATGAGAAAGCATAA